AAAAAAAAGGAAGAAAGAAAGAAAGAAATGCGAAAAGCAAATAGATAATATCAAACCCCCATCGTGAAATCATGCTCAATCCCCGGAGTCACACTCGCTATGAATTTCAAAAACACTACCAGATACTGGTCGACGCGGATCGCTACCTGGTCGTCTTCGTCGTGTTGTAGCATTTCCCACTCGTCGCCGCCGGGGTTCTGCTGTTGTTGCTGGTGGTGTTGCTGCTGCTGCTGCTGCTGCTGTTGTTCAAGGGTCATTGTTTTAACGTCATCGACGAGTCCCTCGAGTCCGCTTCCGCCCGCTGCTGTGGACTTGTTTCCGGCTTGTAGCTTGTCGCGGCGGAGTTTGAGGGCTGCGTCGGCGCGGTCGAGAAGCGTTTTCATGACGGAGGCGTGGCGGCAGGGGTGCACGCTGGCCATTTTCACGGTTCCGTCGTACCACGGGAAGTCTTCGAGCGTTACGGTCTTGTCTTTGTAGTCGCCAACTATGTCTTCCATCATGAGGTGTGGGGGGAGGGGCTCTGACGGGGAGAGGTAGCCGGAGAGGTAGAGGCGGGGGGTGCGGTAGAAGTTGGAGTATGTGATGTAGAGATTGTAGGTCCTTGTTGGTCTGTTTTTTGTCAGTATTATCTTCTTTGGATTCACAGAATGTATGTAGATATGAGGAAGGAACTTAGGGGGGACATACTGCGTCGTCCCAACTGGCTCACGGATAATAGCCTCCTCGTCATCATCATCCTCCATATCAGGTATCTCTTCCTCTTCCTCCTCCTTATCACCGACATTCCCCGCCTCATCAACAGTCCTCACGTCGCCGATCCGACCATCCCCAGATCCTCTCCCCCCACTGCTGTCACCACGCTGCTCCCCACCACCAGTCCTCAACCACCCATCATCATCATCATTCCCACCGCCCCCCACTCCCTCTCCTCCCCCAGAGAGAAAGTCCCTCACGATCTCATCCTCCTGTCCCGCATCGCCCGCAAAGTTCTCGTTCAACCGCCGGTGGCACGGCACGCCACGCGTCACCAGGAACTGCTTCCCCTCGGGAAGGTAGGACACGCGCTGGGCGGGCGAGGATGCGTCTGCCCACGTCCACGACGGGAACTTGTATACGAGGTAGTCCCCTGCGAGGACGAACTCCTCGGGTGTGATTTGCCCTGTTGTGCGGAAGGTCGAGGTGCGCGAGATGGGGGCTAGGCGCTCGCGCCAGGTGGAGAGTGTGGAGTGGAGGATGTTCATCCTTTTCGGTTCTTTGTTCTTTTTCCCTTTCGTGTGGGATTCTTCTTGTGATGTTGAGATGCGGTGGTAGTACTTGGAAAGGCTGGTCGAGTTGTGGGAGTGTTGAAAGGAGATAGGTAAGGTAGAGATAGTGTGGAGAGGGGATGATCGGTGATGACATGCCTGCGTGCCTTATCGGTGTGGCGGTCACTCTGGTTTTTGCCTCAGTCCTCACGCGGGGTCAATCATGTGGCTGAGTCGTCAGGTGTTTACATCAGGTGATTGATTCTTTGTAATATTTTATTTTATTTCTTTCAGTTCTCATTCATGGTAATTTATCTATTTGTGTATTTATATCTGGTCGACGTCCATCCTCTCGTGCTTAATTATGAAGTCATCCGTATCTATGTACGTCCGCCATCTTGGCGGGAATGGTCCGCTGTCTCAAGGGAGAATCTTATCTGTAGCGGCCTATCGATGTTGTCTGAGGTGCTTTTGAGCCCGTCATATATCGACCTCCTGTCTCGTCGCTGCACAACGCCTGTTAGTAGTCCACTAGCCACAACGCATGGCTTGAGGACGAGTCCGACCCAGGCACCACTGGACCCGGTTCAGGCCGCACCCGATGCAAACCAGATGGCAGTTTTCGGGCAGACAGGCATTGTGCGCCATATAGCTCATTAATGAAGAATGTATCAACATCCAGCATCATTTCACCCCCCCTCTTCCATCATCCGCCTCCGTTCCCCCTCGGCTTCCAGCTCATCCACAGTCATGGGCAATGCTCGCCCACTCCATTTCTCCTTTTCCGCCCGCGCAAATCCTTCAATACTTCTCATGGCTACCACCAAGAACCCCAGGTCTTCCCGGTCCACGTCGAATACTTCCCACCACTCGACGTCTACCAGCTTCACCCCGACCTCTCTGGCTGCTAGGTAGATCGCGGCGACGGCCAGCGCGTTTGGCTGGTGCGTGACGTACAACAGCTGGGGCGACAGCAGCGCCGCATTGAGATGTTCAAAGACTCTCCGCGAGACGTCCGGCGAAGACACATCAAGCGTCTGGAGGTACGTCAGGGCGATGGTATGCGGTAGGGCGACGTGCGTATTGAACCCCAGCGTCCGGAGGATGATCGCCTCAACCCGTAGGAGCACCACCCGCTGCGCCAGATACCCACCCTCCGTCAGAGTATACGTCTCCGGTGCGGGCGAGGTCAATGGCGCGCCCTTGGAATTCACAAACCACAACGGTGAAGCGTCTCGGGATAGTAGGAAGGCGTAGACGTTGATGATGGATCGGGGCGATGTCGGCTGGAAGGACAGCTTGGCTGTCATGTAGAGCGCTGCGGCCGAGACGTCCTACTCAAATCAGCATTTCTGACTCCCAATTCCCCCATGCCGGAGACCTCAATTCATGTGCCCGGTATTTCGTACCTTTGCCGCATAGAGCCGTAAGCTCCCGCCTTCCGGGCCAATCCAGAATCGCGTAAAGGTGACAATCGCTTGCGCGATGGTGTCCTGCGACAAGCGCAATAACACCCCGGCGGCCTGGGTCAACTGTACGCCTGCATACCGGACGGAGGCCTCGAGATCGGGTGCGATGCCATCGACGAATGATGAGGAGGTTGTTAATTGTTCGGCGGTTGCGAGGGCATTGGAGAGGTATTTGAGTCCGCTCTGAGTTGACATTGCGATGAGCGGGGAGTTGCGGTCACGATGGTTGGACGGGACGAGGGGTTTCAAGAGTCAGAAAATAAATATAATCGACCGCAGATCAAGGATATGGGGAGTCGATTGCTCCAGAGGGCTGGCAATATCGTGAACTGCTCGTGGAGCTCTCAGACAAACCGAACTCGCTGCTGCTGCTGGCCCCGATCTGATACTGCCTGTTGATGCCGCCTTTAGTAGTATATTATATAAGCGGATTATGTATCACGTGCCTTATACGGTTTATACACAACGTTGCAGCCAATCATCTAAATCCCTTCATTATGCCCTTCGATGTCAAGCAGAGAGAAGTTCCAAGCCTGGGAATCTTTGTGCTTCCCAGTAATACATCTGATGATGTAGCTGCAGGCATAGGGCTAACATTAATTACTCAAGGATATCACTGACCTTTTCTCCCAGTCATCCTTGGGATGGTATCGTCCGACACTATTTGTGCGGATGGAACCTTCGTGATGTTGCCGTTAAAGCTTCATGATCATTACCTCATTATTATCGCACAGTTAAACTTTTACATGTAGACTTTCACTGCCTAACGGGTATTCCATCATCCTTACGATACAGAAAATCTAGTATAAACATTTGGCCAGGTTCTTTCAACTTCTTCCCTCCCCATCCTAACTAATCCACCAAGCACAATTGAACCTCGTCGTTGTAGACGCCAAAAGTCCACTCAAGCACAGAACCGGGATTACCTACATCGACATGAAGCTCGCTGCTCTCCTCTCGGCTCTCTTCGTCTCAGTCGTCATAGCTGGGCCTCTTCCTTCTCCCTCGGTCTCATCGTTCCCTTCGCCCGTCTGTGTCAAACCTGGCTGGTTCTGCAGTCCTGATATAGGCTTTGACTGCTGCGATGGGACTCATTGTCTTGTACTGCTTGATAATATTGGCGGGGTGATTATCCCCAGTTTATGCACCATGTTGATTGTGGCAACGCTAATCGGTATGCGTGTGGGGTAGGTTTGTGTACGAGGCAACGCGACTTCTGTATCTGATACTCCGGCCTGAATTGTACGTTGCAGGGGTCTGTATCGAGCGAATAGCTCGATGGTTACTAGTATGTGATTGTTGGTTGTGGACAGATTCCAAATGAGTCCATCATGCTTGGAACTATAGGGCTGTTGGAGAACGCGGGAATTAGAAAAAAAAAAAAAAAAAAAAAGCTAGGGAGATGTTATGCAGCAGTTAGAATGAGAATCTTCGTCTTTTTCAAGCCCTCTACCTTTCCTCGTCCCTTATTTAGGATAATTAAGATGGAAATGAGTATGACAGCTGCCGCATAGTCCCCGGCACCCGGCCGTTGTAGCCTCGCTCGTAGAGCAGCTGAACTCGCCGAGGATCAATCGGTTGTAAATGACCTAGCTCCGATGATCCACTTGACGCTTTTCTTCCCAACTGGACCTAGAGTAGGCATAAACATATCGCCCATGAAGAGCGGCGACCGATGACGTTGTTGCAGGACGAGGTAACTTCCCCGATCAGATTGGCGATGAGGAGGCAAATTTAGCTAAGAATAAATCCAGCTCCACGATATGATTCGAGGAAATGCTCCATGCATCGTCTCCTCTAGTACCCTCACTAATCACCGTTGTGTTTGAGTGGTGCATTGCCTCATCTTGGTGGAGCAGGACATCGTTCAGCCACCGCAATTTCTCGAAAATATCAAGTGCAGACTTGGTATTTAATTCCCAGCCTCTCGATATATGATTGTGATAGAATTCTTAGATCGAGTTGTCTTAAACATCTAACACATAGCGCATCGAGGGATCGCACATCTAGTGTCATATTCGAATCTGATCTCAAGAGCAACTTGAACCCGTTGAGTGTGGGTAACTGACAGGCACGTGCAACGATCGCTATCGCTTGGCGTTTCGACAATCCTTCAACAACCAATTAATCTGCGGATTCCTCTGCGCACCGTTACTTCTCCTGCCGTTTCTCTCCATCTAGACTTCGTTTGACTGGACTCGTTGTGACCAGGAGTCTTTGCAGAGTTCCCCTCTCATTTCCTGCGGTCATCCTGCTTGGTACTTCGTCTCCCCGCATTCCAAGTAAACAATCGGCCTAGAGGCGGAGCCCCGTTCAGGAGGTCCTTGAATCCGGCCCATCACTCCTTTAATCTGTGATTTATTTTTTAATCTTTTCGGAGTCATCGGTTAACGATCAGGCATTTGATCTGGGTTAACCCTGCGTGAGATTGGGCGTCATTCACCGAGAACCATCGACGTGGCATTCCAGTCCTTGTCCAAGTGGTACCATTAGGGGGCAACCTCCCTCATTCTCGACCCCATCCCTTATCCCTCCTACCCAGTCAGGCGCGGGCTCAGCAATGCTCCAAGACCTCGAGCATCCCTCAATTACGCCGACGCCCGCCATTGACGTTCCTAAACCGCCTCCGACCAAAGTTTCTCCGGTCGATAACCTGCAGCACTCGCTGTCTTACAATGATCAGCTGTTGTCCCACCGAGTCACTCCTGCAGCTTCGTTAGCCCAGTGCTCAGATACCGCTTCTCCACAGCCGGAGAAGCAGATCGCCCCGATCCCCAACCCCTCTTTCCACCGACGCGCCAACACCGAATTTCTCCATCGACAACCTCCTCCTGCGCCCGCGACACACCTGGTTGCGACTCAACCCAGAACCCTCGAAGACATCGACACCGCGGATAGGCGACCGAACCCACCCGGTAACGTCACCCGGAAGAAACTTGAACAAGGCGCAAAACGCCTTTCAGACTGGTTCCAGGGGAACTCCGATCCGGTGAATCTGGGCCTTGTCTCCCAGCCGGGGAACCGAGAAACCCACCAGGAATACAAGATGGACACCCGATACTCGCACGACATTTACGGATCTCCAACCACGCCCACCATGAACCGAACACAGAAGCGCATGACCGCCCCATCCCCGTTAAAACAAGTGACCTCCACGGGCCCCCTCTCCTTCTTTGGCCTGAAGCGCCAGGAACGGACGGAACTTCCCGTGCCGGCCGAAGATGAGTTCCTGAATATGGACGTCACCGCCGCTCTGTTCCCCCCCGGATCGGCGGAACTCGACGAACACGAGGCTTTTCTAGCGTTGCGCAACAACGCTAGTAATGTCCTTCGAAACTTGCAGTCCGCGTACAAACAAAGGACCTTTGCCCTACACGAGGTCCTGGCCGACCGGGTCGAGAAACAGGAAGAGCTCGAAGAGACACGGACGCGTGTCGGACACCTCAAGCTCCAGCTGGACGGGATGGCGGAACGAGTGCTTCAGCAGGATAAGGAGATGAAGGCCATGGCAGAGGAGTTGGAGCAGGAGAGGCAGCTCCGTCGACGCGACGACGAGGCCCGCCGTCGCAGTGTCATGCTCGTCCGATCGAGCGATGACGACAGCACCTCCGACCTGGGCGGCGACCTCCAAGCCCCCAAACGGAGCTTGAAACGCAACAGCAATGCGACCTTCACGAGCGACTCGGGCTTCGACTCCGGCGACGAGAGCCTTGCCGAGAGTGTCTTCTCGCGGCGCGAGGGCCTTGAATCGCCCACCTCGACGGTGGCTCCATCCCCCAACATCTCCCAGATCGCCTTGTCTCCACCATCGACGGCGTATCTCCAAGCTAGCCCGAAAGAGACCAAGCCTGCCACCTTAGCCGCACCGCCCCGTCAGTCGGCGTACGATCGAGTCTTGAAGGGGCTGTCGTGGGGGAACAGTGCCTCCAAGTGCACTATCTGCTATGGGGTTCCTGCATCCGAAGCCTGGAGCGTGATGGGTGTGTTGAAGGAAGAGAATCGAGGGTTGAAAGGACGACTGGGGGAGCTTGAGATGGTCATTGACGATTGTCTGAGTGTGGTTGGACCTTGACAGTCCATGTCTCATGACATAACATTCTACTACATATGATGGGGATGTGGATATACCAGGGATATATGGAGGTGACGAGAATACGTTTGGGTTGGGTCTGTTTGGATCAATCAACATGATATGCGAAGATACCTCTGGCTTGATATAGTGATCGATTTGTATTAAACTATTTACATATTTTTCTTTCCCCTTGTTGTTTTTGTTCGTTTCCTGTTTCAGCACTAGGTACAGCTGGAGTAGCGTAGTATTTCAGTCAACAACCAGTCGATGTGTCCTTTCCACGAGAATGGAAAACATGACAGACAAATGTGTCCAGTCAAAATAATCTCCTTCTCGAGAGGAGTAGAATGAATAAAGAAAAGGTGGCCTAATATAATCGGGGCCATCATGAACGGTGGATGCGTCTGGGGGAGAAAAGGACCAAGTGGCCTGAACCGGGTTTAGCGTGGGTTGCGCCAAAGTGGCCAGCGAGGCGATTTACGTCTTTCCTCCAGTTCCCAAACCAAACCTCATCCTGTCTCCTCCCTTTCTCCCTTTCCCTCTTCTTCTTTCTTCTCCCCCGTCGCCCTTTTTCTTCTTCCTTCTTTTTTCTTTTAATTTGATCTTCGCTCCTTCAGCTGGTTTCCTTTCCAGCTTCCCTCCTTTTTCCTCCTTTTCTTTTTCCCCGACTTGTTTACTCGCTTGGGAGGGCGAACAGTCATCATGAGCGGACGTGAGTGATCTCCACGCGATCGCGCGACAGCATCGGTTCAATGGTTCAATGGCTTTGCAGAATACTGATATGGGAGAATAGTCCGTTTCCTCGATTTGATCAAACCTTTTACGCCCCTCCTTCCGGAGGTGGCAGCCCCGGAGACCAAGGTTCCCTTCAACCAGAAGCTCATGTGGACGGGCGTAAGTGATTGGCGTCGCGACTGGGACAAGGATTGTCGAGCTCACATAGTCTGCAGTTGACCTTGATGATCTTCCTGGTTATGAGTCAGATGCCTCTGTATGGTATCGTCTCTTCCGACACCTCGGATCCCCTGTACTGGCTGCGTATGATGCTGGCCAGTAACCGGGGTACCCTGATGGAATTGGGTATCACCCCCATTATCTCCTCCGGCATGGTTTTCCAGGTGAGTAGTACAGGCTGATAAACCTCTTTTCTTTCACGTTGTGAATGGCATTGGACGCTAATGAATGCTGTGTCTAGCTCCTCGCTGGTACCCACCTCATCGATGTCAACCTGGACCTGAAGACCGACCGTGAGCTCTACCAGACCGCCCAGAAGCTGTTCGCCATCATCCTGTCCTTTGGCCAGGCGTGTGTGTACGTCCTGACTGGTCTCTATGGCCAGCCCAGCGACCTCGGTGCCGGTATCTGCGTTCTGCTGATCGTTCAGCTGGTTGTCGCCGGCCTGGTGGTCATCTTGCTCGACGAGCTGCTGCAGAAGGGCTACGGTCTCGGCAGCGGTATCTCGCTGTTCATTGCCACCAACATCTGCGAGTCCATCGTGTGGAAGGCGTTCTCGCCCACGACCATCAACACTGGCCGTGGCCCCGAGTTCGAGGGTGCCATCATCGCCCTGTTCCACCTTCTGTTGACCTGGTCCGACAAGCAGCGTGCTCTGCGTGAGGCCTTCTACCGCCAGAACCTGCCCAACGTCATGAACCTGCTCGCCACTCTGGCCGTCTTCGCCGCCGTCATCTACCTGCAGGGCTTCCGTGTGGAGATCCCCGTCAAGTCCTCGCGCCAGCGTGGCATGCGTGGCTCGTACCCCGTGCGCCTGTTCTACACCTCGAACATGCCCATCATGCTGCAGTCCGCCCTGTGCTCCAACATCTTCCTCATCAGTCAGATGCTGTACTCGCGCTTCTCGGATAACATCCTCGTCAAGCTTCTCGGAGTGTGGGAGCCCCGCGATGGATCTGCCCAGCTGCATGCCGCCTCCGGTATCGCCTACTACATGTCCCCTCCCCTGAACTTCAAGGAGGCGCTCCTCGACCCCATCCACACCGCTGTCTATATCGCCTTCATGCTCGTCGCCTGCGCCCTGTTCTCCAAGACCTGGATCGAGGTCTCCGGCTCCGCTCCCCGTGATGTCGCCAAGCAGCTCAAGGACCAGGGTCTCGTGATGGCCGGTCACCGTGAGCAGAGCATGTACAAGGAGCTGAAGCGTGTCATCCCGACCGCTGCTGCCTTCGGTGGTGCCTGCATTGGCGCCCTCTCCGTTGCCTCGGACCTTCTCGGTGCCCTGGGCAGCGGTACTGGTATCCTCCTCGCCGTGACGTAAGTTTCCGTACAGATTTGTCTTCCAAAACTTTTGTCTAACTGATGTCCAGGATTATATACGGATACTTCGAAATCGCCGCCCGCGAGGGTGACATCGGCGGTGGCCTCAAGGGCCTCGTCCCCGGCAACTAAACCGGTTCCCCTGATATTTGATGATTGCATAGGCAAGGGAGATTGAGGGTTTTGTTTTGATGTTTCTATGTTTTTTCCGTTCCTTCCCAGGTGGTGCGCTGCCGTGGCTGGCTGGTGTCCGGATTAAGGGATCTGTAGTTTACTTCAGTGTTTTGAAGAGTGGTCGGAAAAGTTGAAGCCTCGGCTGTATATAGCATCCACCTGGTTTGTAACCATATTCCACAAAAGATCTGAAAATTACGAATAAATTAATTGGTGTCATCATACGCTTGTTCTTAGACATAATGTAGAGTTACTTTTACACAAGGCACCTATGAGGTGAGGTATAGTAAGACTTATCAGTTGTGGCCTTCCTTTCTATCAATTAGACAGACCAGGGGAGAGATCAAGTCCGATAATCCCCATTGATAGTCACATACTCATGACTGAAATCACAGAACCAATAAACAGCCTCCTCACCACCAAGGCCCTTCTCCCCCTTCTCGCCACCGCCCAAATCAACCAAAATCTCGAGATCCTCCTCCTGGAGGATGACACTCGCCCGCTCCTCATCCACCTGCTCCGGCTCGCCATTCACAAGCAACTTCAGCACAGGGCTGCCATCCACAGGCTTGAAGCTGACGCTCGTGCGCTCCGGAATGACAGTGCCGGCCGCAACGCCCTGCGTGTAGCCGATCGCGCAGAGAATGCGGCCCCAGTTCGCGTCGCGGCCGTAGAGGGCTGTCTTGACGAGCGGGGACCGCGCGATGGTGGACGCGATGAGGCGCGCGGATTCGTAGTCGGGCGAGTTCTGCACGCGCACGGTGACGAACTTCGTGGCGCCTTCGCCGTCGCGCACGACGAGCTGCGAGATGGACTGCGCGAAGGCTGTGAGGATGGATTGCATGGCGGTGTAGTCTGCGCTGGGGGTGGCGGTCGAGGGAGCCGTGATGGGGTGGCCGCCGGCGGCGCCGTTGGCGAGGAAGGCGACGGTGTCGTTTGTGCTGGTGTCGCCGTCGATGGAGATCGAGTTGAAGGAGCGCGAGACGGCGTGTTTGAGGAGGGGGGAGAGCGCGGAGGAGTCGATGGGTGCGTCGGTGCAGAGCACGCCGAGGAGGGTCGCCATGTTCGGGTGGATCATCCCGGCGCCTTTGGTCATTCCTGCGAGGCTGTAGGTGCGGCCTGGGTTGGAGGGGAGCGTGAAGGTTTGGGAGAGCAGCTTCGGGAAGGTGTCGGTTGTGCAGATGGCGCGCGCGGTGGTGAGCCAGGCGTCGTGCGTGGAGGAGAGGCCTTTGTGCGCTGTGGGGATCTTGGAGAGGATTTTCGAGATCGGGAGTCTGGTGTGCGTGGGTGGAATCAGTCTTGCACGCTTGGTGGGAGGTATGGTGGGTATGCTTCATACCGTTGTCCGATCACGCCGGTGCTCATGACCAGCGTGCTGGGCTCGTTGAGCCCGCTGCACTCGTCGACCGTCTTGCCCATGCTCACCGCGTCCTCCACGCCGCCCTTGCCGGTGACGGCATTGGCGCAGCCGGAGTTGATGACGACGGAGTGGACGCCCTCGCCTTTGCGGGTCGCAAGGATGTCCTTGCTGACCTGGACGGGCGCCGCCTGGAACTTATTGGTCGTGAAGACGGCCGCCGCCGAGCAGGGCGTCTCGGACGAGATCAGCGCCAGGTCGGGGTACTTGGTGTTGGAGGCCTTGACGCCGACGTGGGTTCCGGAGACGAGGAAGCCCTTCGGGTAGGAGCCGGACGAGGGAATGAACTTTTGCTTCGCGGCTGGGACGGCCATGTCCAGGGGCGCTGAGTAGTGGCGCACCTGGCCCTTGGCCATCCGGGCGAATGCGGCCACGGCGGGTTGGGCGGGAGAGGCCATTGAGCTGCTGAGTCTGTCCCCTCTGAGTCAGTATATGAGTAAGATTGAGAGGCCAATACCAGCGAGAACTGGAGAAGTACGAGGGATATATATGAAGCAATTGGAGCTCGACGGATGTGACTCACTGGCACTACTTATACCTACAGCTGGTGTTGACTCACAGCGATGTAGGATCGACCACCGCTACCAGCACGATATTCCCGCAACAGTAATGGACAAGTCCAAAGCTTTCCCCTAAAACAGAATAGAAAAAGGAACGACAGAGAGGAATCCAAAAGAAGTAAACTTGTACGCCCCGCGGATACAAAGCTGATCGGCGCAAATGCCGCATATCGGAGCGGAGCCGGAGAAACGTTTCCCTTCGGTCTTTATGATCGATCTGCCTCTGCGTGTTCCAGACGCGCCCCATCTTACTCTCAAGGATCAACATTCCAACCCTGTGCCTGTCGAGAACTAATTACCCCCTTGCGTCAACGAATTTCTTCTGTGCGCTGGAGCTAGCGCGCGTCGTGTTCTGATGGTATGTTTTTTTGGTTTCCCGTCGATCGACCGTCTGAACCTACCCTGTTGACATGAAGCGCAAGCAACCAGACGCGGAGGAAGAGCGCCCTGTCTCGACGCCCAAGAGACAGCGGACGGCTACTGTTAATGGAGACCGCCATGGATCGCCAGAGATCACGCCGCTGAGGCGCATCAAGACCCCCCAGAAAGCCAGCGCCCCGACCCCGGCTGCCTTGAAGGAATCGGGGCTGAAGACACCAACCAACCGGTCTAAAGCCAAGGCCTTGTTCTCGACGCCAGCCAAGTCGGCGGCTCCTTCTACGCCGTCTCGAGCGAAAAATGCGGACCGGTCTGCGAAGAAGAAGAGCGTTCGGCTTCTCCAGGAGCAGGTCAATGACGACGAGGACGACTGGGATGGGGCGGACCGTCTGGCAGAGGAAATCTTAGACGACGAGGATGCGGATCCAACGATAGAGAAGGAGAGTGGGGTGCTTGATACGGTGGAAGCAGAGTCCGGAGAGCCAGCGAAAAAGGGCGCAGCGGCAACCCCGAAGCGTCGGGCTGGACGACCCAAGGGCGCAAGGAACAAGCGATCTCCTACGCCTGAAGGCGACCTCCCTCCTCACGAGCGATACTTTTTCCAGAACCGAGCCGGTCCTGCGCGAACGTCCAACACCACTCTCAATAAACTGAACCTATTGACACACGAGGAATACTTCGAGAAGCTACAGGGATACACGGACCCGTGCCAGAAAGAGAAGACGTTCCTGCAAGAACTCCATCACCGGTCGTTCCCGCAGTGGGACTTTGAGTTCGACCAAGGGTTCAATATCTGCCTGTACGGATATGGCTCGAAGCGACAGCTTTTACAGCAGTTCGCGGATTGGCACTACCACCGCCACAGCTCGTCCCCGCCAGCTATCGTCATGGTCAACGGCCATACACCCGGCATCTCTATCCGATCCATCTTCGCGATGGTCGTGACCGCCGTCCTGGGCGCTGACATCCCATCGAAGATGGGGTTCCAGCCCGTGGAAGTCCTCGAACTGCTACAGTCCTCACTCAAGGCACGACCGTCCCAAAAGCCAATCACAGTCCTCATCAACTCGATCGACGCGCCTCCTCTCCGCCGAGCCGCCAATCAGGCCCTCCTCGCGCGTCTCGCAGCGACGCCTAAGATTCACTTACTCGCGACGACAGACACCCCGAACTGCTCGCTGATGTGGGACATCAGTCTCCGCGACCAGTTCAACTTCGTCTTTCACGACTGCACGACCTTCATCCCGTTCGACGGGGAGTTCGACGTCGTGGAAGAGGTGCACAGCTTGCTAGGTCGGAAGGGGCGTCGCATCGGCGGCAAAGACGGCGTCGAGTTCGTGCTCAAGAGTTTGCCGGAGAACGCGCAGAACCTGTACAGACTGCTTCTCACGGAGCTCGTCTCGATGTCGGATGGGGGCCGTCTGTCGGACGATGAGGACGCTGGTAATGGCCGTGAGGATGCCGCCAACAAGGACGATCTGGGCATCGAGTTCCGCATGCTGTACCAGAAGGCTGCGGAGGAGTTCATCGCTTCGTCGGAGATGATGTTCCGGACTTTGCTGAAGGAGTTCCACGACCATCAGATGATCACGTCGCGGATTGACACGAGCGGGATGGAGATCCTGGGGGTTCCGCTGTCGCAGCAGGAGATGACGAGCATGTTGGAAGATTTGGTGTTGGCGTAGGACCTAATTGCAAGTGCAATTTGGCAAGAAAACGAAAGCATGTATATATGATACCCTGTACACTATTGGTACTAAATTAATTCCATAAGATTTGAATTCTAGCCCTTCTTCATGTCACCAGCGTAGGGCGGATACCCGAATATTTTATTCTCTCTCTTTGGTTCAAAACACCCACAACCTATTCCACCTCCTACATTATATTATAGACCTAGAACTGCGCAAACGCCGCCAACGCCATCGTCGCCCCGAAAGTCATCTTAAACGGGATATGGCGCGATACCACTCGCTGGAGATCATAGCTCTTGACATACTTTTGCATGCGCTTGACGGGCAAAACATTGTAACCCTTAGCAGCAGCCCACTATCATCATCATCATCATCATCACTGTATTAGCATACTCCGATATAATAACGTAACGACTCCCAACAAGAGAGGGGAATCAACAAACCTCAACAACAACCACGCCCATCCCAAGCAACACAACAAAGACCCTCGAAAATGCCCGGAGTCCCACCCCCGCGACCAACCCCAGCACACTCCCCAGACTCACCTGCCGCATGTTGGACGCGGTCAGGATCCCGCCGGACTGGGTTGTTGTGCCGCTGGCGGCGGGGTGGGTGCTGCCTTGCTTGCGGAAGAGGGGGTCCTGGTCGTTGAAGGTCCAGGAGGGGTCGGAGGATGAGTCCCCGTGGCGGGAGTAGGGGGCGCTGTATTGGCATTGGATTGGGGTGGAGGGGGTGCGGAGGGGGGAGAGCGGGTGGAGGGCGAGGGATAGGCCTAGGCCGGCGCCGAGGAGGGTGGTTGGGCGGAGGAGGAGGGACATTTTGTTCTTTCTTTCTTGATTGGAATTTCGGAGGGGGTGGTTATTGGGGTGAATTGATTGTGTTAAGTCAATGGATGGAGTTGAGGAGTTATGGTGGTAGTAGAGAGGGAGTGAAATGCGGAGAGAGGTCAGTCCCGGTTGACGTCATTACTGGGAGTCTGGTTGGATCTTGGTCCATGCTGGATCATGTTTTGGGAATGGAACTGATTGGTGTGTTCTTATAATAGATTATCATTTATGATAGACAGTTTGTGTCATTCAAGGTCTTACTTGAATTGAGGTCTGGGTCTGGTATGTGGAAGTGGGCTGCTTCATGCTATCCAGGTCAGTTGCGAGTATTCCATACAGGTCAATCATACCTGAAACTACCCGTCTGTAGATGTGGAAGAAGTGCACATTAAATGGCAGTTAATGTATAAAGATATTATATGATCAGATTTATGACATCGTTGGCCAGTATATACTGATGGACTGTACGGAGTATTGTGGTAAAGAAGCAGATCGACACCGTCATCCTCAGGAACCGAGGCATCCACGTCGGATGTGCCAACCGATCCATGCAATCTCAGCTCATCCCAGTCACTTCCCTGTCCACATCACCTCCAGAAAAGGGGACGTCCTGCCATTCCATCCAAGATCAACCAGATTATCTATCCATCACGTCTAATCAGAAGAAGAAAAAAAGAGAGAACCCTCACAATGGCCATCGAACTCGACAACTCCACTACCACCACCACCCCCGACCCCGGCTCCGACCACCCCCTCAGCAGCAACAACAACAACAACACCCCAACTTACGACAACAACAACGACCCCCCCTCCCTCCTCACAGCAGCGCACACAATCCTAACAACGCACTTTCTCCCCCCCGAAACCCAATCCACCCTTTTAAAAACAATCCTCACCCACCCCTACTGGACGACCTTCCTCCTCGCGCAGTTCCTCTGCTCCGTCATCCCCATCGCGCTCTTTCTCCTCGGCGCCGTCGTCGCTGCTTCTGTCGCTGTCACCGCTTTCACCTGTCTTGCTGGGCTGGTGCTGATCCCCGTGCTCATTGGGACGACTGTGCTTGGCGTAGGGGCTTGGGGGTGTGGGTGGGTGGTTATCATGCTTGGGAGGTGGGCGTGGGGGGCGTTTGTTGTGAATGGTAATGTGTCGGTCTATAGCTCGCTTGATGAGCTTAGTCGCTCTGGTGTGGTTAAGAAGGAGAAGGAAGGGGATGGTGGGGTTTATGGGAATGGGGTGCAGAATGGGAAGGATAAGGATGGGGGGAATTGAGTAGGGGGTGCGTTTAGGTAGGTTGTTGAATACAGCTCAAGGTGTTTGTGTTTCCTGACTCTGACTCGCTGTGTTATATTCACTAGGTACGGATTGAACTGAACATTTCAAGGCTGTCTTGTCTAATTCGCTATGCTGTATAAATACAACGCTATCTATTTCTACCCCCCTGCCCCCCATTAAGACTCTACTGACTCTCCGCCCACTTCACCCACCGCCGAATACACTCATCCACGCGCTTCAACTCCGCCTTATCAGCCGGCACCTCAAACCACTCGCGATGCTCCTTGCCACACTCCTCGCACTTGCCGAGATCACGGAGCCTCAGATCCCCCAGCTCGAGATGCGTCAGTCGTTCCACACGATGCACATGCGGCACTTTGCCCTCCTGGAAATCAGCGGGCGGGAGACCTTCCGGTCGGCCGGGCGAATAAGGGTAGTATCTGATGAGGGTGAGGTCGTGCGAGCACTGCCGCGACCATTCGGTGAGGCGCCTGTTGACGTTGCTCGTGCGCCCAATCTTCAGTCGGATGGTGGAGTCGGCGCTTTGGCCCGCTGGCGTGGTGAAGCCCCGTGCCGTTTGGATGGCGTCGCTGGTGCGTCGCGGGCGGGACTCGGAGGTTGGGAGGAGAGAGCGCGCGACGTCTGCTGGGGGTGGGCCGCTGCGGGTGGACGTCGCTGGCGTCACCCAGAACATGTAGATGTAGCCTGGTTCGTCGGCGTCGGAGATCGGCTTGGCGAGCTCGCCGAGGAGGACGGAGGTTGTTTGCGGGGAGAGGTCCGGCGGGATCCAGGAGAGGAGCGCTTTGGTGTTGGAGTGGGTCGAGTCCGGCGCGCTGTGGAGAGAGGGGCGGGAGGGGGTCTGCGAGGGGGACAGAAGGTGTGCTTGCGAGGAGGTTGATGGTTTGCCTGACGGGCGCTGCGGTCGGCCTAGGTTGGCGTTCGAGGGCATCTGCTGCATGGCAGGGGGTCTCTCCCCTGCTGCCGCGTTGGCGGGTCTCGATGGGACGGGGTCATCGTCTTCGACGAGCACTTCGAAGCAGCAGCAGAGGGTTCGCTTGGTTTCTTTTTTCGGGGCCGGGGCCACGTCGGTGCGCCGTCTGTGGTTGCGACGCTTTTTGGACGCGTCTTGAGAGTCGTTGATCTCCAACACCCCCAGGCGGTCCATCAGCGTGTCGACACTTGTCCTTGGCTTCAATTGCGGGTTGTGTGGGGTGTGGTTTGCGCCGTGGGCGGCCACCGCTGGTGCTTGGTCTTTGTGTTGCCAGCAGTAGGACGAGCCCGCGTCTGTTTGTTTGGCATGTTTCGAGGGGGACGATGCGGGCGATGAGTTCGTCGAAGATGCTAAGGGACGTCGACAGGGGCGGCCATTCCCTGTGACGCCTCTGCATGTTGATGTTGGGTCTAGGGAGTCAGTCCGCCCTAGAGCGGATCCGGCTTTATGGTTGACAGGCATGGTGTGGTAACTATGAAGTCTAGTAAAAGAGTGGAAAGAAAGAAAGGGAGAACAGGTGTTAAAAGAAGATCAATGACCGATGTTTAATTGCTGAGCTAGCTCTATGTTAGTCGGCAAACGTCTGATTACCGCCCAATTAAGCTGTCACTGCACTGTGGGACTGCCCTTTAGCCTTTCTCAGGCTTTCCTTGAACACTTGAAGCCACTAGAACACCTTAGCGTGTGCATGCCAGCATGGCTTTGTTGTCTTAGGTCGGTGCCTGGCTGCACCGCCCCTGTGGCTAATGATGTCGTTGGAGATGATTGACCCACTCAGTCAAAACAAAGCGGCGCTTTCATGCGGTTAGCTCAGTTTCGCCCAAATCACAATGGACTATTAATAGGGCGCAATTAAGGCCGCTTACCCCCCCCCTTTCCGATGTGCCCTATCTTTAACGTTCTCTTGTGAAAGCCCCATACAGAAATAGAATGTTCGCTGCCGTGGTGGTCTGGGGTTGGAGAATTGGGTGTGTTACATGGTGCTTTTTCGAGCCTCACTTTGCAATTAGTCATATTTCTCAATACGGGCCCCCCTTCCTTTCCCAACGATCGGGTTACAGATCTGTCTGCAATGATTTGTATCTGGTTTGGCACAAATGGTCGCATCATTTTCGATATCTACCCAGTGTAGTCAAAGCCGGCTCCCCGACACTTTACCCAGAATGACCGAGTCATCTGGACCGTCTGTGACTTGGCGCCCCGGGCAGCGAGCAGAGACGCAAGGAAGCGCTGTTTCTCCTCCGGCGATACGACGGGATGATGGTGCTGATTGGTCGGCTCGTTCCCGACCTCGGCGAGTGCTGCTGTAAGGTGTGGCCGGGCGAGTCCCTGGTGCTTGAAGATGACCCTCCGGAGCACCTCGCAGAGATGCTCCAGGTCGGATCGCGCACACCGACCGGAGACTTGCGTGATCAGGATCCGACACAGGGCAGGGAGGCAGTCGTTGAGCGCGCCCATGACGGGCTCAGCCTCTCCAGACAGATTCACTACGCTGACCCAGAATTGAGACGCAGAGCGGAGGGGGAGCGGTTCGGTATCTTGGAGGGAGAGAAGGGTGAAGTTGAGGATCGCTTGGAGAACCGGTGGCCTCTGAGCCGCGCCCGGGGGCGTAGATGTGAGTGTAAACAGAAAGGGGTGGTACTTGGGGAGCAGGCGGGTCAGGAAGTCAATCCCACTGTTCGCAACCTCGGGGTCGTAGAGTTCTGGCTTTTCGTGCATCCAGCAGAACGTTTCGTACACATGCACGATCAATGCTACCGTTTCTTCCCGCACCTTTTGGGGATGTGCGCTGTGGGATGCCAAGAATGCGGAGGCCGTAGCCATGACCATGTCGGTACCAGCACTGCCAAGCGGGATGCTCTTCACGAAGTTAACGGCCACCATGGGTGGGAATACGTAAGGGCCTGTCCGTTCCGTGAAGCCAGCTTTGAGGATGTCACACGCCGCTTCGATGATGGAGACGTCCAATGGAAAGTCGGTCATCAGCAGCTGCATGCACTGCATAATTAAGGTTTGCGAAGCTGCGCCATTCCCTGTATTCCAGAATGTCGGAGGGTATGAATCTGCACTGCTGGCATCATCGGAATCCAAGACAATTTCGCCATCCGCTCGAAGGCCTTTTCCCACACTAGCGATACAGCGGAGCGACATCTGTCCCCGCGAGCGAGCTTGGTCAACCAATCCCTGGCTGGCTTCCTCACGTGCCAACTCCGCTTGCTCACGGAAAAACGTCAAGATTCGCTGCAGAAACTGGGATTTATCCTCATCTGAAGGGACAGTTTGGATGATAGCCGCAATGCCTTCAAGAACCTTCTCCATCGTTTGGGCGGTGGCAGTGGGCTTGTACCGGAAGTGCTCGAATTGATCCACGAACGCCGGGAGCTCGAACGTGAGGGCGTTGCGACATGATTTGCACAGGTATGATATCGATTTGGATGCCGCGGAGGCACACGACACGATGTCTAGGGACGCAAAGAGGAAGGTGAGCACGCGGGGAAGCAAGGACTGGGTGCGTTCAAAGTACGATTGGTATCTTCCTAGCGTGTCGACCAAGCTTTGGCGAGCTTTATCGGGGATTGCCAATCCCCCGCTCTCACAGAGCTGTGCAAACTGGTCGCAGAAGAATATCGCATTGAGGCATTCGTCCGCATGCTGATTCTCATCGACCGCCTCGGAAAGCTGCGCGATGCAGAAAATGGCAGCCTCGAAGGTTGCCCAATCCTGCTGTATGAGGGACGATCTCGCTTTATCCTGGAATACCTGCACCAATTCTACCCCCAACATGGGGTAGATTGCCAGGAGGAAATCGCACACGTCCCGGCGAAAAGAACCAAACTCGCTGCGGTCGTCGTCATTCCACCCTTTCAATTCCTTGGTGCTTGGGTACTTGAGCTTTTCAAAGCAGTCCATGGCCGCGCGGGCTAGGTTCTGTTTGGCGGCCCCCAGCCCCGTCTGCTCTTCGCTGCCTAGGAATATCTCCTGCATGTCATCGGCCACCTCAGTCCACCACTCCAGGGCCAAAGGTGAAGCGGTATCATCAACTGCGGCGTATCCAGGAGCCTTGAATAGCATGTGCAGAAGAGCAACCACCTTCTCATGCTGCGCGTCCAAGGGCTGTATCAGAATTTCTCTTTGTTTTAGCGTTGAGTAGGCCAGAAGTAGCTCCAAAAATGTCAGGTTGTCTTCGTCAAAATCGGACTCCATCAGTGCAGCAATATGGCTGGAGCCAAAGTCGCTAACAATGTATTCCAAAACGGCATTGAGATGCTCCGGGGTGGAGATGCTGTCGCGCCAGTCTATGAGCTCAACGAGGACCTGCGTCGCGGTTTTGGACAGAGTTGAGATCTTCATACTCTGGATCACGTAGTCCGTGGTAGAGCTCAGCTGCGAAGCAGGTATTGTGTCACGTAGCTGAAGAGCACTTCGGACTCCCATCCATGACTGAAGGTCGACAGACGTTAGATGCAGCCACAGGTGTCGAAGGAATAAACTTACATGGAAAGCATTGATGGCCTCGATCCCGAGCGAACCGTCAGATAGAGGATTTCCGGAAACCTCCTGCTGCACGATATGGCGGAGCACAAATTCGACGACGAGGAAGGCATCCTGCGCATTCTTGGAGATCCGATCACTATCGGCTCCCCGACGAGATTCGGAGCTCCACTTATTGATCTCTTCCCCCAGAATGTTGGCGAAATACAGTAAGGCCATCACCTGGCGTTCTGCCATGGCGGGAAGAACGGCATTCTGCAAGTCAACGGACTGACACTGTTCCTCTGAGATATACTTCCCATTCGCCAGTGACGCAGCAAGGTTCCAAATCGCATGCGCCCAAGGGGAGTTCGCCTTCAAAAAGATGGTTGCGAGGCTCGTTGCCAGCTTCCGTACGACGAAGGGCTGTCCTCCTCCGTTCACCAGGAAGACATAGTGATCTATTAGTCGACCCAGCAATTCCTGTCCCTCCTGTTCGCTTAATTGTTGCCTGTCGCTGTCAGTTGGCTCCAACTCCTGAATTGCAGGGGAACTCACCAGTCTTGATTGATTTTGACCGTAAAGGTCAAGGCACCAAAGAATTTCAAGTCCGTGTGGTCCTCATTCAGCAGACTGTTGGCCACCAGCCACGCCTGTGGACCTTTCTGAAACCCCTGTAACTGCTCCTGGATCACTTTGATCTTGGCGGGATTTCCCGTATTGGCCGGGTCATACAGCTGCGAGACGAGCTGGAGAGATACATTAGCTCATTGCTCGACCGTCTCGACCACATGCGTGACTCACCGACCGGGCCTCGTCGACGAGGAGCCGTACGTCCGAGGCCTGGGCTGCGATGTTCATCGACATAGCCTGAGTACGACAAGGACCGTCTTGGAGGGGGAAAGCGAAAGGATATAGATTTACGATGCCCACGAGTGGCTTATAACGGAGGGTCACGTGCTGATAACACTACCACACAACGGTCAGGCGGTGAAAGTGGGATGGGAGGGAGTCACAGAATGAGGGGCAAGCATCCACAGGGAGAAGAGTATGGTTGGCTATTTTAGTATTTTGGCTGTAAGGTCGTGGAGAGATGATTGTTGATTATTATTATATTTTGTCCTGGGGGACTGACCAGATCAATGCACAAGTTGTTGGGTATTTGACAGCATCACGTGTGGTAAAGGAATTGTGTCCACAAGGGGAATTATGACATTCCAATTAATAGCATCAACTGGCGATGTCAGTCAACCCTTAACCACCTACGTAGTAGGTACCTACAGTAGATACTCACAGTATCTGAAGGAGAGGGTGGATTCCTGCATTGTGTTTCTAACTGGGAAAACGCTCGGATCATCCATATGTTGCTGTAATGAAACAAAACAATACTGTGTTCAGGTAAAGAGATAGTAATCATACAGGGGGTATTGTAGATGATCCATTGTATTCGACGGTATTACCGGTACGGAGCTAGGCTTATCGCTTCCCCAATGGATCCCCCATCTCCGCCTGAGGTTACTGCAACGCGACTCACTAACTGAACTAGCTCTCGATTCTACTTCTCATTGATCATACACTGTATCCGTGCCTAACCTTGAGTGATCTTCCCCTCCATCGCTCCAGATCATCTTCTCCCCCTCCCTCCTCTTCTCCCTCCCCTTCCATCCCTCTGTGCAACAATCCAAGGGATTGTGCCTGCAAACCGTGTCGACGGGATTCGTCTACTGCTTCGGACACCTGCATTTTCTCTCGTCTCGATCCTCCGTCGATGCTCTGTTCGTACCATCCGATTCGCCTACCCTGGTTATCATCGGCCGTCCGATCAGCTCGATCATTACCCCTCCCTCGTACAAGGCTATTTTCGACCTCCCGTCCGAGATACACCGTCGATATGGCGACGGTGGACACCTCCCAGCGCCTGGCAAGGTTGAGGCAATTGATGCAGGAGAAAGAGGTCGACGTCTACAGTATGACATCATCTACCTTCTTTCGCGTCGAGATCAACATTGGGTTCTGACCTGCCTACACAGTCGTTCCGTCGGAGGATAGCCATCAATCGGAGTATATTGCACCATGTGACGGTCGTCGAGGTTAGAGTTCGCCCCTGGGTTGTCCTTCCACAGACCCAATCGCTGCATCGCCCCCGCGGTGACCACCAAATATACACTGTGTGACTCACAACTCTTCTCCGCAGAATTCATCTCGGGGTTCTCTGGATCGGCGGGCACCGCCATTGTGTCCATGTCCAAGGCCGCCTTGGCTACCGATGGTCGGTACTTCAACCAGGCTGCCAAACAGCTGGACAGCAATTGGGAACTCTTGAAGCGAGGAGTTGAGGGGGTCCCCACCTGGCAAGAATGGTAAGGCACACCGGTCTGTGGTTCTTGGAGGGCAGCGAGCTAAGTGGGCACTACTAGGACGACCACGCAAGCCGAGGGTGGCAAGGTGGTGGGTGTCGATTCGGCTTTGATCACCGCCAGTGAGTGAACAACCGGCTGAGTATGAGTGAGACGCGGACTGACCCCCAATAGGTGGCGCGCGGAGCCTCTCGGAGACTCTCAAGAAGACCGGTTCGTCGTTGGTGGGTGTTCAGCAGAACCTGGTCGATCTGGTATGGGCCAAGGAGCGACCCGCCCCTCCGAGGGAGAAGGTCTCGGTCCACCCCGAGAAATTTGCCGGGAAAAGCTTCCAGGACAAGATTGCCGATTTGCGCAAGGAGCTCGAATCCAAGAAAGCTGCCGGGTTCGTCGTTTGTATGTTCCTGTGAGCTATGAGGTCGATTGGCTGGATACTGACGACAGACAATAGCGATGCTCGACGAGATTGCCTGGCTGTTCAACCTCCGTGGCAATGAGTAAGTGAAACTCTTGTATATCCTTGAATCTCTACTGACCGGTGAATCCTAGCATCCCGTACAACCCGGTGTTCTTCTCATATGCCATCATCACACCCACGACCGCCGAAATCTACGTTGACGAAGACAAGCTGACGCCGGAGGTGAAAGCCCATCTTGGAAACGATGTCACCATCAAGCCGTACGACTCGATCTACGCTGACGCCAAGGCCCTCGGCGAAGCGAGAAAACAAGAGTCGGGTGGCGCAGCCTCCAAATTCCTCGTGTCGAACCGAACCTCGTGGGCTCTGAACCTGAGTCTCGGTGGGGAAGAGCAGGTTGAAGAGGTTCGCAGTCCGATTGGTGACGCCAAGGCCGTCAAAAACGACGTGGAATTGGCTGGTATGCGCGCATGCCACATTCGTGACGGCGCGGCGTTGACGGAGTACTTTGCCTGGCTCGAGAACGAGTTGGTCAACAAAAAGACCACGCTGGATGAGGTGGATGCTGCCGATAAGCTGGAGCAGATCCGATCGAAGCACGATCTGTTTGCCGGCCTTTCCTTCGACACCATCTCTTCTACCGGCCCCAACGGCGCTGTGATCCACTACAAGCCCGAGAAGGGCGCCTGCGCGATCATCGACCCCAACGCGATCTACCTCTGCGACTCTGGCGCTCAGTACTTTGATGGCACCACGGATGTGACTCGGACGTTTCACTTCGGCAAGCCTACGGACCTTGAGAAGAAGGCTTTTACTCTGGTCCTCAAGGGTTTCATCGCGATCGATTCGGCTGTCTTCCCCAAGGGAACCAGCGGATTTGCGATCGACGCTCTTGCTCGTCAGTACTTGTGGAAGGAAGGACTTGACTACCTCCACGGCACCGGACACGGCATTGGTTCTTTCTTGGTAAGTGGAATTTGAATGGAAAACAGAATACCGTGTCTAATCATGGTCAATTCAGAATGTGCACGAGGGACCTATGGGCATTGGCACCCGTGTCCAATACACCGAGGTTCCAATTGCCCCGGGCAATGTCATCTCTGACGGTAGGTTTCCCTAGTTGGTGGTCTATTCCAGGTACACGCGCTGACCATAGCAGAGCCTGGATTCTACGAGGACGGCAAGTTCGGTATCCGTATTGAGAGTAAGTCTGCCTAGACCGGATACAGATGATGAAACTGACATGCAGCAATAGACGTCATCATGGCGCGTGAAGTGGAAACAACGCACAAGTTCGGTGACCGGCCGTGGTTGGGCTTCGAGCACGTTACGATGACCCCCATCGGCCGCAACCTGATCGAACCGTCCCTTCTGAGTGACAGCGAAGTCCAGTGGGTGAACAACTACCATGCGGAGATTTGGGAGAAGACCCAGCACTTCTTCGAAAACGACGCCTACACCCGCGGCTGGCTTCAGCGGGAGACCCAGCCCATCTCTAAGTGAGACAGTAGTATTAGTTTAGTATATAGTACAGCTCAACATGGTGGATGAAAACGCCCTTGTGTAGAAATCAAGCAATCAATATATTCACATACCAGCGTAGAGAATTTTGTCCATTTATCTATTTCTTCCTTCCTTCGTTATATCAATTCCCAGGGGAGTATCTGCGTTGCCGAATGTGGCTGGCGGATCCGTTGCTCATGTGGAGAAGCAGCCCGTGGACCCGACCGCAACCTTACGGAGTTCGACCCAGCTCTTCTTCCCCCCCGTTGCGGCTTCGTTCCTCCCATGCACAATGACACCCGGTGGCTTATCACTGCTCTGAATCAACAACACCCCCTTGCGGACTCTGCACTAGCTCAGAAAACACCCCATTCTCGGAGAATTCCCCTCGCATCTCGAGGTCCGATCATGCCCCTTGTCCTTTCCCTCCGATCCAACACCATTAGTGCCTAGACCTCCCAGAATCCCCGAACGGCCCGGCTCCCCGCATATCCCCCCCCTCCTTCGGTCTCGATACTTCCTAACACACCCCGATCAAACATCGACACATCTGTTATGAGCGGCAGAGGGGGCTACGCCAACGGATACGGATACTCCGACTCCAGTCGATACGACCGCAGCGATGGTGGATACGGCGGCAGCAATAACCTGGGCGTAAACGGATACAGCGGCGGCGGCGGCGGCGGAGGAGGAGGCGGCGGCGGTGGTGGTGGGCGACAGCGCGAGGGGCGCGCAGGAGGCTACGGTGGCTTCTATCCAGAGCCGTCGCAGCAACCGAGTCTGTCGCCGAGTCCGTCTCCGTCTCAGTCTCCGCCCGCCGACCCGCGACGGGAACGATGGGAGAGGGAGAGGGAGTACTCGTCGTCGCGATCGCGGACGCGAGAACCAGAGGCGAATAGGAGGCAGATGGGCTCGCGGGATGGTTGGCAAGTTCCTCAACAAGGGCAACAGCAACAGCAACAGCAGCAAGTGCCACCACAGGTGCCGCAACTGGATCCGGGCCTGTTGGATCCCCGTGTTGCTCGTGACAGGAATTTCAGTGCGGTTAGTGCGCTCGGGTCGCAGGCTGTTGAAGGTTCGATTGTCTCCCTTTTGGACTCTGTTTTGCTGCGGCAGTGGCTAATATACGTGTTGGATTTGGTGTAGATGTCATCCAGTCGATTCAGAATGAGTGGGATTTCATGGCGTCTGATGACTGTCTACCGGCCCAGGTAGCCTTGCAATTGATGGATACAAGTACACTGGGGAAAGCGGATCGAGAGGCCGACTTCCTCGACGTTCATGAGCAGATCCAAAAGACGCTGAAAGCGGTTGTCAATGGTCGGTCCCACACTTGTCGTTGTTTGGGAGCTGGTACTAACGTGGCATAGAACACCACCAGGGCTTCAATAGCTCCATTGGTACATATCACAAGATTCAGTCGAGCATCCAAAGCTCGCAGAGCCGATTGCGGAATCTGAAATACGCGCTGGAAAATTCCAAATCTGGGTTGATTGCGACCAAGCCCGAGCTCAAAGGACTGGCAACCTCGTCCCAGAACTACGATGATATTATCCAGCTATTCAACCAGATCCAAGAGATTCAATCGTTGCCGGAGAAGCTGGAATCCCTTATCTCAGACAAACGGTTTATCTCCGCCGTCGAGGTGTTGCATGATGGTCTACGGCTGCTACGTCGATCAGAGCTGGAAAACATCGGCGCCCTGGCTGACATTCGCGCGTACTTCGCAAACCAAGAGACATCCCTTACCGACATTCTGATCGAAGAATTGCATGACCATTTGTTCCTGAAATCTCCCTACTGTGCGAACCGGTGGAAGCCCCCGGCCGCTGATGGAGAACCTAATCCGTCCAACCCCCCGAACTGGACTGGGACTACCACGTGGGAGAGGCCTGTCTACCGCTTTCTCGCGAAAATGGACGGTTCCTCCCCGATGGTGGAGGATGCTTCTCGAAACCCAGAGGCAGACACATTTTACTACATCCAGCTTCTGATCGAATCGTTGAACAATATGGGACACCTGGACATCGCAGTTGACAGGATTGAGCAGCGACTGCCAGTTGAGCTGTTCACAGTGGTGGATAAAACCAATGCCGAAATCGATACGCGATATCCGAATCTGACGCGTGGCCTGACCCCCCTAGATAGCAAGACAATGCCGACGGAGGTGATCGAAAAGCGCGGCCACGTTTTGTCGGAGTTCCTGTGGACACTGTACGCAAAGTTCGAAGCCATTGCCGAAGGACACCGTGTCGTTCACGACGTGGTTGCTGCGATCATGGAGCGCGAGGGAATCCCCAAAAGCAGTTCCCTTGCGGGCGGTTTCAAAGAGGTCTGGAAGCTTTATCAGAGCGAGGTACGTGTGGTCATCAAAATTGGCCGGCATTCATCTAATTATCTATCTGCAGATTCGGTCTCTCATGCACGACTACTTGGCCACCGATGGCGAAACTTCGGTCCAGCCCTCGACCGACGACTACGACAACATGCGTCAACTCTACTCTGGCAACAGGGACAAGAGCAAGGTGCGTCATGCTGGCTGTTTGAAATATTGCGTTCGCTAACGAGCAGTAGAAAATGTTCAAACTGTCCGACGCGGATCGAACAACCCAGATGAAAGCCGAGCAAGACGAACTAGACGAGATCCTCAGATCTTCCGTCCCCGGCTTAGTCTCCAAGTCCCGAGGGAAAAACACATCCCACGAAGCGTCTGATAATCGGCAAGGGAACTCTGGCACGGGGCACAAGATCCTCATCGAGCCCAGTGTGTTCAACATGAGCATTCTACTTCCGCCTTCGCTTTCGTTCATCCAGCGGCTCAAGGAAATCGTGCCAATGGACTCTGATATTGCGACGAGCTCGCTGACGTCGTTTTTGGATGACTTCCTTGTTAATGTCTTCCTTCCTCAGCTGGACGAGACTGTTACCGATCTTTGCACGCTCTGTTTTATTGAGGCGGATGCGTTCACGGAGGATGCCCAGTGGTCGACGGTGTCGCCGCGGCCAGTCTTCAAGGGAACTATCAAGTTCATGTCGATCATCAAGGAGTTCAGTAAAATACTGTCCAGTATCCCTCACGATCAGGCTTTCTCGCAGCTTCTGATCACCCAAATCATGACCTACTATGATAAGTGCTTCGGGTGGTACAAGGGTGAGCAAAAACGAATAAAACAGTTTTCTGAGTCCAGCTCTAATGATTCTGCAGTGATCGTGACCAAGCTTTCTCCACGGGAAAGTCGGACTGTTCGGCTCAAAGCGGCAGCGCAATTCGCTGATTCGGGGGAGATCCACGATGTGGTGCGCGACCTATGGGAGGAGAAGGCCGCTAATAAACAGATTTCCATCGATACGGTAGGTGTCTATCGAATTGAATATAGACCGAAGGACCAGCTGACCGCGCTAGGAAACCGACCTCCTCCTTCAACGCACCGATGAGGTTCCTCTTGAACCATTCGACATAATATCGGACCCCAAGTCGGTAGTGTCTCTGTCACTCCTGTACAACAGCATGGTTCGCCCTTCCCAAACCACTGGACTCACTGAAGGAACCTAGCTGACTCAAACAGCAATGGCTCGCAAGCAACCTCGCGAAACTGCGCCAAAACCCAGACCCGCTAGCCGACCTTCAGTCCTCAGATGTCAGGCCAAAACGTCGACGATGGACCCTAATCTGCGCCATGAAGCCCAGACGCGACAGCATCAACCAGCCCGTCTACCTGCCCCTCAACCAAGAAACGGCAAACGGATTCGACAACACCCTCGAATCCCTACGCAACCTCGCCTCGACGGCTCTCTTCGCGCTCCACATCGACATCCGCTGCGGTATCATCCACATGCTAACGCGCACCATGACGGGTCCCAACCCGCCCAACATCCGCTACTCCGAGCCCTCGACGCCCTCCCCCGACCCCAACACATCCTGGTGGCACATCATCGCCAGCCAGCCCACAGCGGCCTCACCAACCGTCCTCGAACTCAACAACGACCTCATCTCCTTCGACACAAACATCACCTCCTACCTCGGCTCGAAAGAATCCTGGTTCATCAAATCCGGCCTCGCCCGCTTCATCGACCAGACCTTCGTCTCCCGCACGCGCCACATCGGCGCCATGAACGAAAACGGCGCCCTCCGCCTCCAACTCGACGTCCTCGTCCTCCAACAAAACCTCAAAAACATCATCATCGACCCCTCCCCCTCTTCCTCCTCCCCCCACCAAGCCGAAGTCATCGCCCTCCCGCGCAGCGCCAAATTCCTCGACTGGTTCCTCGAAGGCGCCGAACAGGCCCTCGACTACGCCAAAGAAGAGAAAGACGCCTTCGCGACCAACCCCGACGCGGCCCTCGCGGCCGGCAACGGCGAGCCTTTCAGCTACGAGGAGCTGAAGATCCTGGTTGATTTGTGCTTTTCGGAGACGCTGCGGGGCCCGCATGGCGCGGAGAATAGGGAGGATTTCATGGCGGCGAAGAAGGCTAGTGCGGAGGCGTTGTTGAGGTTGAATGAGGTTATGTGGGATTCGAAGTGATCTTTCTTAATACTTTCTTCTATTGGTTGGGGTGATTGAGTGAGTGGGTTGAGTTGATCGCTTTGGTTTGTTGTGTGGTTGGTTTTGATGAGTTGTGAGAGGAGAGTGGGAGGGTTGGAGATGGATCGGATACCTGTTGGTCTGGCCTTTTCTTTGCTTTTTCTTCTTTTCTCACTCCGTCTTTCATTTGTATGCTTGCTTTATTGAAATTACCTTTATGCATCTTGTTGGTTTGTTACAGAGCTGGTCTACTTGAGTCAATGAAGTACTACAGTAGCTTAAGACTGGTCATGTCATCCACACTTAATACACTACAATTAGCAGTTGAACTCATCCATTGCACCGGATCGAGGCACGCCTGATTATCACTCCCAGCCCGAATTCGCCGACCCATACTAAGATAGCATACAGAAAGAAGCGAAAATTAAAGACAGCAGAGGGTAGACCGCAATAAAAACATGAAAGGAGATGACCGACCCAGGTTGGAAAACTCAGTATCAAAGCCACGTGGGCTCGCTGACCCGGGCGAACCGGTCACGGGTACCTTAGCTGACAGCAGAAGATTGAGGAAATTTGTTCACGGAGGGAAGATTGGGAAATTCAGACCGAAACGGGAAAAAAAAAAAGAAAAGAAAAGGAAAAAAAAAGACGAAATCAGCATGCAACCACAGGGAATCACTGCCTCTGAAAAAAACAAGTCGTAGCACACGTGAGAAGACCATAACGCGAGACACCGCTGGCGAAGAAAGCAGGAAAATAAAGAGATTAGCCCTGGTTCTGGTCGACATCCAGCGGTTCCAGTTCTTTGGACTCTTCGTAGTCGTCGAACTCCAGGCCCGCGTCGCGACACCGCTGCAGCCACTTCTGCGCGATCTCGCCGCGTCGGTTCACCTCGATCTTCAATTTGGAATTTTGCGAACTGATCTCATTGATGGCTTGCGTCGTGGTCATGTTGGTGTGCTCCCAGCGTTGGGCCATGGCCTGCTTCTCTCCATGAATCTGCTCGATGTATTCGCACGCGCGTTGCAGAATGGCTCCCTTGTTCTTATCGCAGTTGGGCACCAGACGGGCGATCTGGTTGATGCCCTCGTTGATCGCTTCACGACGACGGCGTTCCACTAATCTCGGTTAGCTATTGAAGGAACACGGAGAGTGAATGCACGGACCTTCTTTGTGGTTGTTTTTGCGGATCTGATGCCACTCGGGCGATCCCACGGACGGCTTTTGGTTCATGCTTTGGGCTTCGCGCGCCGCATAGACGGCGGCCGCGGTGGAATTGTGGCCATGGGCGCCACCGATCTGGCCCATATCATCCCCAAATGTCAGGCCGTGGGTGAGGTTGTTGTCGAACGCGGAGTCGGGGGGCCCGGGATATTTCGCCTGCGGGTTGTGTGCCGCCAAGGCCGCCTTCGCGGTCAGGGCATTCTCGTCGGAGATGCCGTTCTGGGTCCCCACGTGCTGGAGGATCTGCTGGTCGATGTTCAACTCGGACGTGGTGTTGGGGAGACCGTGGGTGTCGTAAGACCCCAGCGAGCCGTGGGGAAAATTCGACTGGGTGTCGCCGGGGATGCTGCCATTGCTTCCGTGCGACGAACGGTGCGGGCGCGGGTTTTCGGGACCGGTACTGTCGGTGCTATCACGCTTGCGCTTGTTGGAGACATTGCCATCCGACGCGCCCACCGAAGGATCCGACATGATGAAAATGCTTGGAGTTGCTACCCTGCTACATTACATCAGTCGCTGGGGACCACAACACTGCGACTGGAGACGCGTTACCTGAGCAAGGCAGAACTCGACTGGGGTAGAAATATCACAGACTGCGACTATCTGTGAGCTGCATGCAAGTCAGCCATCTGCGGGGGTGCATGTGTAAATGGAGGAAAGTTAAGTGAGCGGTCCATGGGGAAGTGCGAAAAGAATTCGGGCCATGAGGGAGCTAAGGGAGCACGAAAAAGACCAGGGGAACGCAGCCCGGACATTCGAGGCCAGAAGGAACAAATATTTACAGATGGGGAAACACGAAGCAAGTTGAACTCCATTGCAAGCACCAACCATTCATTCAGCCATGCAGAGGGCAAAGTGGGAGTTTGTTTTGGTTCAGTGTATGGCAGACGCGTTGGGCCGACGCGCCCAGCTCTCCGCATTCAGCACCAAAACATCATTGGGGGGGAAGGGAGCGCCCGCTGCAGGCCACCCAAAACATCACCCCACACACCAGGACAGCTCCTGAACCATCGCAGAAGCCACGACAGGAGTCCTGGATGAATTAAAGACAGGTAGGACGACCCTAGCAGTCGGTTGCACACCGGAAACGCGTCATGGCAGCTCAGCAACAGATGTAACCGAGGGAGCAGAGCCGGCGTCGCGAGCAAGCAGCGACCGCGCCCGACCGGCTCACGACGGAAGACGTCGGCTCTCGGTGTGGACCGAAGCCATCTGGCAGCACGGATGGGGGGAGAGGGGGGAAGAAGGGGGAGAAGCGCAAAGAATCGAAATGGAAAAGGATGGGGAATGAAAGCGCGATGAAGTCGGAAGGAAGGGAAAGTGAAAGGAACGTACCTTGAAGGGTGAGAGATGGATGGATCTCTATCACCTGACAGCAAGTCACCTGCCACGGGCAACAACAAGAGGATGGAAGATTCACGATTTCGAGCAGAGAACAAGAACAACCAATTTCCACCGGACCGAAAGGATATCAGGGGAAATAATAGGGACGGAAACAGCGAGCAGCCAGGATTTGAACGGGAAGAAAGCGTTGTGGAGGATTGTAGAGGGGAACGTAGGGATAAACAGGTGAGGAAGTAGTAAGTAGAAGAGAGAGAGAGAGAGGAACTCACGTGGGCGACGGGCAGGCGACGAGGCCGAAGTTCATGCCTGGGGCGGCCTGAAGGGACCGGCTGCGCAGTCACCTGATGTCTTAGTAATCGTCACCACCAAATCATATACTTCTTCTTCTTCTTCTTCTTCTTCTCTCTTCTTCCTCTTAGGTTTCTTCCTCTTTCTCCCTTTTCATGGTCACTCGCTTTATCCTGTTCAAACCCTCTTCTCCTCTGTCCTCCCCCCTCCAAACCATCCAGGCAATGTCATGTGCAGCCACCCCGTGCCCCCCCTCCTTCCACCAGATGGCTCATCCTGACAGATGATTGGCTGCCCGGATGCCGGAGGAGGGGTTCCTGGTGTCACGTGGACTTGTCTTCTCCGCTCCTGAATCGCATTCGTCACGTGTAGACGACACGTGATGAGGCCGTGTACATGAAAAGTACCTTTGATAGTCCACCTCTTCAGTTGATTCTAGCCATTCCTCATCAACTGCATCATTCTTCTGGCATTACAGAGATAGGCTTTTAACATCGAGATGCTCTTCTGGAGGGTCTCGACACATGCCAGGCCACGTCGAACAATGACTGGCGTCCAGTATTCTAGGCCCAGCGACTTGCAAACATGAAACCGCCAGAGACACAAGTTCTACCTGTCAAGGGGATAGCTCAGCAACCTGTCAAGCGACCAAACTTGACTATGCAAATTCTCCTGGTTCTACATCACCATCCGCTCCACTCCTACTGGCGAAGGTCATGCTAGCTGGGATCACGAGAACAGCGCAGCCCTCTCCCGAGATGATTGACATGGCGAGAACTGTAATGAGCATCTCTAGGTCATCTTTCAAGAAGGTCGCTGAAGATGGTGCCAGGAACCCGCTCGTGGTTGGCCCAGTATGTCACTCACTCTCAACGTACGTGTTGACATTGGCATATGAGATCGGATTTTCACCGGAGGGCTACTATACATGGGTGGTATGAAGTTCTCAACTCTCACTGTAGCTGTCATCTGAGTAAACTTCCAATTTCAATGCTGAGAGATAGTCCACGCAACCTCTCTATTGGAAAGGCGTTGGCTAACACAGGTCAATCCTCGACACATCTCCACCTCGAACAGAACAGTGAGTCGGTGTCTCGAATGCAAACCAGTTTCTATTAGTCGAGGAGTCAGTCTCGATAAAGACACATGCCCGGTCCCACAGATAGTCTGAGTCTTTCCCCAGAGGTGTCTGTCGACGTGATCATAGAAAACAGGATATCACAATATCAAGTCCCATCTTAATAGAACTTGCACCAGCTCCATGAGCGCATCGTCAACTAATCCGATAGGCATGCCTGTGCCAATCACCCCGCACGTATGAGAAAATACGCCAGTCATTCATAGGTCTGGATTAGTAGCGCCAAATGAACCCATGATCCTACAGGGATTCTGCTCATCATTCCGTTGCTCTTCTCGGACTAAGAGACACTAGAAGTCGTGCATGGTAGACTTGTACTTCTTCAGGCTCATCATATGATATCTGTGTTCACCGCTCTATTCACACAGCTCCCAATCTAGTAAAGCTTTAATAATAACCCGTGGGTATTATATGCTTGACACTTTCTTGTCAGCGTTGTAGTCTTAGTCCGGTTGCCAAGTATCAGCATTCCAGCTAGACAGAATCCATCAGCTTCTTCTCTACTACCCACCAATAAAAGCCAAAACCATAAACACCATGTTCCAAAGCTACCTACCTAGAGGGTTTGTCTAATAATCATAAAAAATAAAAAATAAAAAAAACCTCCCCACCACCGGTCTAGATGCATCTTCATCTGACCTCGTGTCACATGTGTCTCTCGTTCACACATACATACTCCATCTCCCTCCCTCCTTCACGCCTCACCTCTTTCTGACCAGAAAATCTATCTCCACCCCCTTGACAATCCCCACCCCTGTTCCAGTTCCAGTCTGAATCCACACTTTTACGTACACCACGCTGATCCGGGCCCCGTCACTGGTGAGATACACAGGTCATGAGACGGAGAGGGCGGCGTCTCCACTGCATGTCATGCATGTCTCTTTCATGCATGCATGCTTGCATACACCACACCTACATACATACACACACGCGCGCGCACACATTACACATTCTATCCTGTGGGATGGATAAGCTATCGGGGAAAGTCGTCATGAACCTTGTTCTTTTGCGAGAAATGGCTTGATTGGTGGTTATGATGCCTCGTCACATGAAACAGGGGGGGTTTCGTGTCTCACATGATAGGTCAGGATTAATCATTGTGGTGATCATTGAGATGAATGGGATACCTTGCTGCCAGGTGAGCGATCAATGAATGAACGGAATGGCGATGGTGGTGGTTATCGGGATAGGTAGATTGATAACTTCTACACTAGGTGCCAAAGTATCTATACAAGACCACCCAAATCATAGCATTGTCAAAATGTCCATCCCATCGAGGCCAGTTCGCTACCTACCTACTAATCACCCCTCCGGCTTCACCAACGCAAACACCATCTCCGGATCAGCCTCCGTATCCGCAAAGCAGATCCCCTCGTTCGCAGCGCCCATCATTCCCCAGCACAGAATCTTGACATCCAGATCCGGCCCATCATCCCCACCCATCAAAGCAGCCAACCCCCGCCGCCTCCTCTGCGAAACAGCAATAATCGTACTCCCACCCGCATACCTTACCGGCTCCTCCCCCTCGACAGCAGCAGGGTCCTCTCCGCACCGATTCGCGAAAACCAGCACAACCCTCTTCTCAGCCCCCTCATCCCCATTCCCATTCCCATCTACGTCCGCCCCATGCGCCATCCTCTCTCGGATTAGCGGCATGAACCGCTGAATCCAGTAGTTGAATGTATCCAGGTCGGGTTTGGCGCCCAGCGCGCGCAGCTCCTCCGCGGGTAACATCGTAGTCCACGCCATGGATAGCACGACCAGCTGGGTCTGGGAGTCGAGGACCCGCCTAGCAAACTCGAACGCTGTAAACGGCGCTTCAAATTTGTACGGGTTGATGTCCATGCAGATCCCAAACGATGTCGCTATATCTTTCTCCTTCTCCTCGCCTTTCTCACCCCCAAACCGCAGCCTCTGGAAGCTCCGCCCCGCATCGCCTTCAGCCGCCCATGGCTCGTCAGCCATGTAGAGGAACGTCTTGCGGTAGTTGACAAGGACAGACCCGTGCGGGTCGACCACTACCAGCGAGTTGTAGTACGTTTCGGTTTTCGTCGTTGACTCGCTAGATGCGATGGTCGTTTCGACTTCGGGGTACCCCACGCACACTTTACACCCGTGCTTTTTGGCGGTCTTGCGCGCCCAATCGGCTGACGGGCCTTGTCCGACGTGTTCCACGTATGGTCGGATGGCGTCTGCCGAGGAAAAGTTGTATCCTGGTTAGGTCAGCTTAATACTCTTTTCTCCCGTGATTTGTGCAGTTTATCCAGACAGAACCATTACCACCAACGTAAGAAAGCAACCAACCAACCATATATAAATTCAAATATAGAAAAGAAAGGTAAACAAACCAGTAAGCGCCATCTCCGGCAAAACCAACATATCCACCCTCCTCTCCAACTCATCTAGCAACTCATCAGCCCGGCGGATATTCCCCTCCACGTCGCCCAGCCGCGGCGCGAATTGCAGCGTTGCGATTTTCATTCCGCGCTGCTGTTGCTGCTGCTGGTGCTGCTGGGGATGGTTTTGATGGAGTGCGCGAGCGGGAGTAAAGGAGCGCGCTTGAGGAATTCCCCAAGAGCGTGCTATATTACTAGCGCCGAATGTTCGTAGTGCTGGTGTCCAGGCGCGGCGAGCGAGATATGGAATTGCCTGGGATATTCCACTGGGCGGGACTCGTGCTTGTTGTCTTATGCGGGTGATGAACGGGCCGAGATGGAACGGCTTCGGAAGTGTGGGGGAAGCTATTTTGGCTGTTGCCTTGAGTGGCGTTGTCTTGTGTTTATAAGTTGATGGGTCGGGTTTGTGTATATGGATGGATGGATGAAGTATAAGATAAGTTTGATGGATGGATGTTTGGAGAGGAAAGAATCTGGTCCTGATTGGTGGGTTGGGGGCGGTATCATGTGATGTCGATAGATACCTGAGGCAGATACTATGGGCCCCATACTATGAACATACGACAAGTGATGTTCTCTCCTCTGAATGGAGTTTAAATAGATAAACTAGTGAATCGGTTGCTCAAACAATACTATTTTATGGATCATGGGAATCTTATGCTCAATCCAATATGACACTAAACGCTCAAAGATCCCTGAACACCAACCTAATAAACAAACAAACGCCTCCGCCAATGCATATGATACAACCCTAACACCAGCACCCATGTTGCATTCCATGGTATACCACACGCATAAAAACAGAACAACATAATAAGAGTTTCAAATAAAAGCAGGGGAGTATGAGCAGTGAGCACTACCTGCTCTTCCGCTTCTTATCCGGAGTAAAATCCAAAGGCTTATAAGCCAAGCCTCGGCCACCGGTCATTCGAAGTCTCTGTTCAGTTCGAGATAGCGTACGACCGAGTCCGAGATCCGTGTCAGGCGCAAGAGCCAGATCGTACCCGTTAACTTGAGACGCCGAATTAGGCGACTGGCTCCGAGAGTAAGATCTCACCGAGGAAAAGCTGCTCCCCGGACTGAACGAGGAACGACGCGGTTCGTACGGGGCAGAGTAGTAGTGGTGGTCGAGCAGTTTGGGTCCGCTCCGTAATGACTCGGCTGCGATGCGCGCCGCGGACAGAAGCATCTCGTCTTCGTCGACTTGGTGCGGTTTCGGCGGTGGGGGTTCTTTTTTCTCCGGTTTGCGTGCCGTCATCGCTTCGATGCGCTCTAGGATGGGGAGTTTCGGTAGTGGCTTGATGGAAGATAGGGCCATGGACGTCTTGCGTGGAACGTGCGCCTCGGCTTTCGACGCTTTCGGCGGTTTGGAGCCACTGTCTGCTGGGGCGGGTTCTTGATCCTCGTGGCCTCGCTTGCGACTCGATGAGGATGAGGACGGGTGTCTTCGCCTATCGGCGGCTTCTTTCAAAGCCTCGATCCATGCAACACGCCGCTCGGCTACATCAATTGCTAGGATTGTCAGTGCTTTGAAACTATACAATTTGTGACTTCCCGAACTTACGAACTGGCTCAGAAGAAGCTGGCACTCCTTCATCCTGATTGGCAGTATTGGCTTCTGCAGATGGTTCTGATGTCGATACGCCAGTTTCCCCTTCGCTAATCTTCTCTGCCGCAGGAGAGACTTCCGGCTGTGAAAATCGCTGCTGCACATCTTGTGTTGTCTGCTCAGGTGCAGAAACCTTCTCTTGCTCAAAAGACGGCATCGACGGAGATTTGAAAATTTCGGTTGAGGGATTTTCCGGCTTAGCAGGTTGCTTGAAGATGTTGTTCAAACCCCCGGGCGCTGACTGGGACGCAGCGATAGATGGTGTCTTTGAGTTATTCTGCCCATTCTCATGCCCCATAGTGGCAGGCTTTTCAAAATTGTTGCCTAAGCTGGGTGCCGGTTGAGATGACGAAAATATAGAGGGTGTGCCTGAAATCTGTTAGATCACGATATGAAAGGCAATTCCACTAGATCATACCTTGTGTGGCTGGCGCTGAAGCTGAGCTTGCAGTCTCGCCAGACTGGACATCAGTGCTACTTGGTGCGGTGGATCCAGAAAGACCGAAGACGGAGGTTGAGCTTGATGGGAAAGTGGGAGCTTTCGGCGCGTCGAAAATGCTGGTGGAGGATTGGCCTGCCGCCGACGCAGATGACTGCCCAAGAGCAGTGCCGGTCGAGGTTGCCGGGAATCCAAACGGTGATGATGACGGCGTGCTTGACGGGAACGGACTCGGGGATTTGAAGGGCGATTCCGCAGGAACTGGCGCAGGTTCTGCCTTGGTCATTGCGGATGAGGACGCATTGTCCGTAGTTGAGGGAACCCCGAATGGCGAAGTCGCCGGCGCTGTATCCTGCTGAGAGGGGCTTGGGAATTTGAAGAGCGAGGATGCGGGAGCTGTAGTAGGTTCTGCTTTTGTCGTGGAAGCAGGGGGGAACACGCTTGTAGGCGGTGTCGGTATTCCGAACGGTGAGTCTGACGGCACAGGGGCCGTACTAGACTCTGCCTTTGCCGTAGATTCAGAGGGGAACACGCTCGTAGGCGGCGCTGGCATCCCGAAAGGTGATCTCGACGGCGCGGGTTGCTGAAATGGACTAGGCGATTTGAAGGATGACGGAGCAGGGACAGGAGCAGCAGCAGAAGCAGTCTCTGCATTCGCCGCATTTGTAGAGAATATGGAATTAGCAGATTGCGAGGCAGGTGTTGAAAACAGTGGTTTCGTCTCCGCAGGCTTGAACGCTGGTGCTTGCGGGGCGCCAAAAGGAGATGAGCCCCCAAACGGAGAAGGGGCAGTCGTCGGTGCGGCGGGAGGAAACAATGATCTTGGCTCGGGAGCCTTTGGTGCCGAAAAGATCGAACTCGGTGTCTGGCTTGTTGTTGAGCTGTCTGTTGGTTGCGAAAAGCCCCCGAATGGACCTGGAAGACTCGGGGCGGGTCTGGCGGGTTCGTCTTGTCCAAAGAACCCATTTCTCTGAGAAGTCGGAGCAGGAGTCTCATTGTCGTCGTCGCTCACGAAAAGGGAGTCGTTGCTCTCGAAATCGGGGCCGGTCAGAGGTCGTTGCACTCGATGTGAGAGCAGGGAGCGATCGATCATTCCAAGACTGGCGGCGTCTTTGATATTTAATCCGAGAATGATCGCAGCCATTGACCTGCCTGCGCGTTTCGACTCGACGAGTTTCTCTGAAAAGGAGTGCTCTGAGGATGGTTGGAAGGCTATTGGTTCAATTAGTAAGTCGATGAAACCAACATTGCTGGGACAGATATCGACGGAGCCCTATTGTTCTTCGGGAGATGCGGAGGCCGAGCCCACGGACGAACAACACTGAGCGATGGCGAAGTCGAGAGATACACGTACCAATTGAATCAATAGGGCGGTTGCCCCAATTGAGATATAAATTACCACTAGCATTCTCGGCAAATCCTAGGTCCTGTTCTTCGCAAAACTGGATCGTCTGGTTGTCGTCATCGAAGCACAACACGGTTGTCAACTCGTCGACCGTCCATTCTTCGTTCTTGTGCTGCTGGGATGCAGGGTAGCGACAGTAGCCCTTCCAAATCGATCGGATGGCGGTCTGGCGAACGTGGTTGAAGTAAATCTCCGCAACGCATGCCATCAGGTACGACACGGCCGGGGAATCTATCAGCTCGAAGAAGCGTGCATAGAACCCCTGTGCAATAGCGTTCGGCCGCTTAGCGTCCAGAGTACCTTGGTATTCCCACGTGTTTCCAGCAGCGGCTAGTAGCTCTAGAGCTACCTGCACCCGAGGCGATCTGCGCAGCTCGGCCGGCCATTTCTGGACACGCGCTTCTAAATCCGGTCGCTGGTCGTGGATCGCAAAGATGATGTAGTAAGCTCGAAACTCGTCTTCATGCTCGAACGAAATACGGCCGCGGTTGTCGTCATAGTAATACATGAGAGACAACATGGTGTTGTTCAGTTGCTCGCGTTCCTGGTGGCGGTCAAAAGGTTCCTCGTTGGCCGGGCTAGAGAGTAAGTGAAGAGAGGATATGTGGAAACGGGCGATCCGTTCAAGACAGGTCACAGCTATCCGCACATCGTCTTCCAGCGTGACCTGCTGTACCGAGAAGTCATTGCGAATGGATCGCGTCCGATCCCATACAAACTTATGGATAACCCCTAGAGGTTCCGGGCCACTAAGCACATGCCGAGTCAAATAGTTCATTGTTTGTAGCAGCGTCATCGGTGTTCGAATATCAGACGGAAGTTGTTCGTCATATCCGGCAGCTGATCGCCTAAAGCGCTTGAGCATTTTCAGCTCCATGTTTTGGAGCGAATTTGTCGTGGGATGAAGGTACTATGATGTGTGAGCTTCGGGTCTAGCCCAGGAGGTCTACTCGCTAATACCTTTTCGCTTTTATCCACCATTTTCTGAACAATACGTTCGACACGTTCAAACTCCGGGCACATGCTTGTGCAAGTCCCGACGGGGGTGATGGCTTGGTTTAAGGAGGTCGGCTGGTTGGGGTCCGCCATCTGGCCTTCCCTGATCGCCTTTTCTCTTTCCTTCGCCCGGGATTGTTTAAGCTGTAGAAGTATTAGAGATCCTCTTATTTTCAAAATGTGTACCTTCGTCACTGACCTTCTCATAACGTTCATGATAGCTATTCAGCACAGCACCATCCTCCACAATAATGCCGGACCTCGTGTTTCCATTCACCTGCATCGCAGATTGTCTCCGGGGATCTCGACTCGAATCGACAGAAGTCGCACTACTGGCCGCGGGGGCCCCAAACGATGCAGGCGTAGGTCCAGGTCCAGGCGAAGGCGAAGCTTTCCCAAAGGGCGAAAACGCAGGCGACTGCTGTGCACTCTGAACAGCCGCAAAGGGTGACTCGGATGGCGGGTTCTGCTTCAATTGGGCGAAAGGCGACGATGCAGCGGGCGTAGGCGCTCCCGTGGTCGGTTCCGACTTCCGCCAGGTAGGATTTGAGCTCGCGCCGCGACCATAGCCGCGACCGGCCCTTGCAGCTGGCGCTCCTCGCCCCCGACCGCGGGGTCTGGGATCACGCGGCGCGCTGGAGTTCTTGGTAGGCTGGAAGGGCGCCGTCGCCGGTTTCCCGAACACACCGCCGCCACCGCCGCCTCGCCCTCGACCCGCTGACCCCGTCACGCCGTCTCTCTGGCCGAGGCCGGCAAATGGGTTCGGCGGACCGGCCATCCTGCTGCGCGCAGCAGAGGGATCGAGATCCGCGGGCGATACCGAGTACCTTCCAGCGGAGCTGGGCCTTTTCGCGTTTTCCGATTCTTTCTTCCTTTTCGTCTAGGGGTATCGACGGAGTAATTGGCGGTAGGTTTGGGACGAAAACAGCGCACGTGGAGAAATCCTAGAGCTGTCTTTCGGATCGCGTTGACAGGAGGATAACGACAGAGTCAGCGGACATGATCAACCCAATAGACTATATCATGATGATGCGAAAGCGACACCGTGGAAGCAGAAGGCGAGCCATCGGAAGATAGAACAAAGGATGGGAGAAATAACGATGATGGAGTATGCATGGGGACGACGGAAGGACGATGGCGTGGTACCTTTGCGCGCAGGTATTGGCTACCGATTCTGTGGGTTCTCTCGGAAGATGTAGAAATTGACTCGACAAAGTGACTTCGATTGATGGTTCAACGGACTAAGGTGTTGAAGGCAAGATCCGCAACGTTCGAGCCGATGGAGTGGGGGAGAGCTCTTCCCCTCTGAGCAGAGCTGTCGAAGACGCGAGGGCAATGTAGATGGACGAATAGATCCGTAGCCTGGGCAGCTCAGCAATGGGATGGAACACCGATCCAATCCCTTCACGATGCACTGACACGAGAACAGCGCAGAATTGAGGAGATATGTCGCTCTTTGTCCGGTGTTTGTTGAGTTGGGGATGCTGTGCTGTGTCAGCGGACCGGCCTCGTCCTGCGAAGCGCAAGCGCCACTACCGCGCGCCAAGACCACGGGTTATTGCCGAACTTGACCACCCGGGCATCAACCTGAGGCGACGATATTTCTGGCTGGGATATCAGTCATACTCCACTGACATTGTCTCTCGTTGCTCAATTTTCAGATCCATTGTCTACAGGAGGAAGGTTCGAGATTCAGGAAAAGTAGCATATATAAATATTTATATTTTGGATCTAACAATTACTCCACAATCCACAAGACGTCGTCTATCAATCACGCCCCATTGCTCAACAAACAAAACAAAGGAAATATAAACAAATCATAACAACACATTAGCAGCATACATCCGTCCAGGGGGAGCCCATCACCGCCGGCTTCTTTTTTTTCTTGTGCAACAGGTGCAATATATATGAGGGCAAAAATGTATAGTCGAATCGAAGAGCATGGAAACAATAAAAGAAAAGAAACACAAACAGAAACGGATCAAAATATATATATAGCGGTGGGAACGGAGTAATGCATCGCTAGGTAAATTAAGTCGCAGAGCGCCCCCGGCAAAAAAGATGGCGGGTTCTGGAGAATAAGGCAAGAGTTCCCGCTAGTGGACAAAATAATGAAGTCTATCGCTCAGTCATACATATCATGCGCGTCATTCAGGGTCAGGTCGCTATGCCTTCCGGAGTGTCGTTAATGGGTTGGTTGCACTTAGGCTGCGGTGGGATGGTGCGCCGCCATCATGTGAGGGTGGCTTAAATGGCCCCCACGGAAAGAAGATCCCTTGGGGTGAAGATCTTCGATCTTGTCACCGCGCATGTCAGGAAGGCCGTTCCCGGCTGGCAGGTCTGAAGCGTGGGAAGCGGACGTCATGGGCATTTGGTACATGGAAGGCTGGTGAAGCGTTTGGTTGGCGGCACCGTAACCCATGGGGTTGAAGACGTTTTGTCGGTAGGATGGCGTCCAGGCATCATAGTGGCTGACGGGGTGTTGCATGGGGACCGACACCGGGCGGGTCGAGGATACCATCTGCTCCCCTGCCGTGGAGGCGGGAAACGGAGGGGCCAGATAATCAAAGGCAGCCTCGTTGGGACTGATCAGCGATGAGTTTGGAGACGCTTTGATCATCGGGTGCGATGGATACTCGTCCGAGTACTCCGGGGTGGCATGGTAGTATGATCGGTCGGTTCTGGGCTGCTCGCCAAAACTGAGTGACTCCGAGTATGGGAAGATCTGGTTTCGGTCGGTCCCAATGTGCATTGACCGGCCTTGGCTAGGCATGGCCATGTTGTCCATGGAGGCGAAGGAAGTCGCTTGCTCGGCTGATGTGGACGGTGTCAAGAATCCATCATCGACATCATCGAGCTCATCCATATCAGCTCTTTGATCTGCTTCGCTAACTGTGTCCGAGTCCTTGTCGCCCTTGGCGTTGGTGTCCCGGTTGAGAACGTAGACCATGGTGGTGGCATCTGGGGGTATTGGTTAGTTCTGGCTCTTGTTCTGAGGAGCCACTAGAACACATACCGACTTCGCCCCGTTCGTATCGCTCTTCCAGCCGTCGTACACGGAAGATCTCATCAAGAACCTCCATCTTGTTCGGCTTCAGTTGTCTCTTGGCGTCGTGTGCAACCTCTTGGAGCTTATCCGGGGTGATGTTGAACCGCCCCAGCTTGCGAACAATGTGGATCAAAAGGCGAATACGCTCTGTCTTTATGTCAGTACTGTACCGTAGTGGGATCCGGGAATGTCAGAATGCTTACGGTCTTTCTTGAGGTGGTCGGGCTCCTTGTGGACCACACCGGCAGGCCACCACTCGGGCTTGGTCTTCTCTGGGTCGCCTTTCTCGCCAGGAGGGGCGCCAGCCCGGGGTCGACCTCCGTTGTACGGGTGCTTGACTTGTTTCCGGGGCTCGATGAACTTGATGAACGCTTTGGCGATTTGCCGGCAGTTGAGTTGTTGGAAGTGTTTGAGGGCGTTCTCGTAGTACTCCAGAACCTTCTCAGTATCGCCGATCTCGAGCCCTGTCATGTTGGTGGCAGAGCAAGCGGGAATTTCTTCCACAGGGTCCGAAAAGGATTCGGTAAAAGAGATATCCAGGGCCGGGTCGTGGGCAGAAGCCTTGCGGCGCTTGCCGTGTCGGTAATGCGACATGTCGCTGGGGTAAGCATAACCATATTCAGATGCACCCATGCCAGAGGATCCTGTATTATGTGATGAGAAAATGGTTCAGCTTGAGGGTATAGAGTCAAGACTTACGGCGTATCAGAGGCTTTTGGTAGCCGACCTTTGCACCCAGAATCTCCAGGAATTTAGTGCGCACGTCGGACGAGAAGACAGTGCCATTCTGCTCCCGGATAGAGGCAGACTCGGACACCTTCAGCTTGCCCATGTTGTCAAGGTAGATCATGGCATAGTGAGGATAGGGGACGTTGAAGGAAGAGGTGGAGACACCCATGGGCTGATTGCGGTCCTCGAGTCAGCTCTGCGCAGCGCCGAGAATGGGACCTTCACTCACCGGAGCATTCTCCCAGCCCACACAGTCATCCTGCAAAGCAGAAGAGGGTCTCTTGACCGCCCCTGTCGTGGAGACAGACGCACTGAGAACCATGACGATTGAGGTGATGTATGCACCACCGAGTCAGAGGAGAGGAATGTTTCGAAAATAGTATATAGACCGGAGGGGTTGTATAGATCTATAGCGCTGACAGAGCCGTGTGGAGCGCGCAAAGCATAGAGAAAACCAGGAGGTCTTCAGTGAGGATGGGCTGGTAATTTGTACTCGTTCGAGAAACCAGCAGAGTTGTTGTTCTTCTTATGACCTTGGACGAACGTCCAGTGGTTTCAAATGATGCACCGCTACTGGGACCAGCGTTAGGGCTACGCCAGCAATTGTGGGTTAGCTTCTCGTTCCACTCTGGAAAATTGCAGAAGAAGACCCTTGACCAGGGGGAAGTGGAGAACGCAAGATGTCGTCTGGAAGAGGGGAGGATATAAACAGATTGAGACATGCAGATCAAACCAACACCCCGCCATTGTGCGGTCACCCGACTCGGCTGACGAGGCCATCGAATCCCATCCAAGCAAAGCAAACAACATGTCTCGGGATGGTACACCGGGGATAGGCTGTTCGTACTCACAGGTAGAAAGGGTGGTGAGGGTCAGAGCGCCTCGGAAGTCTTTGGGGGAGAGACCAAGGACGGCGCTTGCGGGAATCCAAAGAGTGAGGCTGCAGGGGAATCTGCTGGCAGCCGCAGATGGCACACTGGAACGGGTACTAGGTGGAGGGTTGAGAGACAACGGGGTTGGGCGCGAATGAGAAGTCCTGGCGGGTGACTTCTTTGTTTGAATCCGGGATGGGAAGTAAACGGGAGGGGGAGGGTAGGAGTGGGCGAGAGTGGGGTTGGGATGGTGACACCAACGGGGGTTGAGTGTATAGGACAAGCCTTGGAGGACAGGGAAGAGAGAGAAGAAGTAGACCAACGAGTGGGATGGGGGAAAGGATATAATTATAGTATCACTGAAGATCGATAGAAGGGGAGAGAGGGAGTCAGGTCTAGATCGAGTGGAGGATTCTATAGAACCTCAACACCAATTATCAGAAGAAGAAGTCTGATCACGATGGAGAAGAAAGAAGAAGAAGGGAGTGGTTTGCAAGTGATAAGGAAGAATGAGGTCTTTATAAAAACACAACGATCGAGGGGAAAGGACTGTTAAATGAGGGTGATCAACCAAAATCAACAAAATAATAATGAAAAATGAAAAGGACTGGACTTTTGGCACATCTGCGAAGCTGCACGAAGAATGATGGATCGAGATTAGGATCTCAGTACAAAAAAAGCGCCCCTCCTCTGGCCGGGGGGAGACAGTCGAACGCTCCCCCCGATTCGGTAACCTCTTGATATCCAAATCAAATCGAGGATCAGGGTTAATCCTTGAGGGTAGGAAGAGAAACAACGAGAGGGTCCATTTGCAGTAGTCTGTTTAATTTACTATTTTATTATTATTAGTATTATTATTTTCTTGGTCTGGAAGGATTAGAATATGATGTTTCGATTTATTTATTCTTTTTTTTTTTTTGATTTTAGATAAAATAGTATTTATTTAGTTTAATTTATTATTATTATTATTATTATTATTATTATTATTATCATAACTATTATATTATTTATTTTATTTAAAAGTACTCTTGTCGATCGTCTCAAGCGGGGTCTCAAAGTACCTCCTTTTAGTCTTTGACCCAACACTGGAGACCAACTAGTCACTTAAGAACCCCAGGCTTTATTCGGGGGCAAAAGACCGTCAAGAGTCCTCGCGGTGGCGTGTCGATAATTGATTCTCCACCGTCCGGAGGGAACGATTGATCTGCAATTTGATTATCTTATATTATTCGGATTAAAGTATTTTAAGTATATCACGATCGGTTGCTTCTGCCTGTCAGAAGTACCATTGCTATTGGATTTGGTTCTATCATCGCATGAACCATCGAGAGTAAATAACATGAACAATGGATAATAGAGAATAAGTAACATGGCCAGAGTCTTGCAAGTGAGTCTGAATCTTCGCCACTGCGGGTTTTATGTCTAACTCTGGCTGAATTGATGTCGAGTATCAGTTTGTCAGCAAGGATTCAGGTTGCTTTTTCCGTTCGTGTTTCCTTTTCGATTGACTGATTTAGCTGTTGGTCTAATCTATTTTATTTTTCTTTCTTTCTTTTTCTTTTTGTTTTTATTTTTATCTTTTTTCTCTTCTGTTCTTAACGCTCTTCATAAAAGTCGCCAGAACAGGAATGAGCCTTCCGGTCGGAGGAATTATGATATAATTTTAGGAAGCAAGTCATTCCCTGTCAAATACTCCATGTTCGGAGGGATCAGGATCTACTCGGAGGTACCTTTATTTTTGTCTATCTATTTGTTTTGATTAATTTACTTTCATTGATCTGCTTTTCTTTTTGCTTTGTCTTGTTTCGTTTCTTGTCATCTAACCCCGCCCTAAAGGTCGATAGCTTAACATCGACAACCACATTGATGACTGATGCCTGACGACACAAAGAGACCTCTGTAGTGACTAATTTCGGGGATCATGGGACGATGAGGACTCTGGACGCCGTTAATTTACCAACCCCGGGATGGCTTGCAGCGAAGTGGTACAACGCCAAACACAGACCAAGTGGAAAGCCTCAAATCCAGGGACGGCGAGCCTGAGGGTATCCTGATGCCTCGACATACACGCACAGGCCGCAGAATCGTCCGGTTGCCGCTTACTTCAGAGAGTGTATACTACGGAGTACGCCGTGGAATAAAGAAACTCTGAAGTATAATACCCATATAGGTAGTTACACGCAATACATCTTGAGACGAACGACATGCAGTCTATCCGCTTGTTTCTCCATAGCATCGTCACGTTTTCCCTTCTGCCTCCTTGGCCACACGTACACAGCCCATGAGGTACGCACTACGTACACATCTACGTAGCATGGCTGAGTCCATACGGCAGGAGTCAAATTTAATAAATAAATAAACCATGTATATGCATCCACTGTAACAATACTCAGCCGACGATCGAGGTCGGTCTCGCCGAGTCACCGCCATTGTCACCTGACAGAGGTCGAGCCCTAGTCCGGGCCCATAACTAAGTACTCGGTCGAGTCGATTGGACCCTCATTCCTATTTCCACCCTATTTCCTTGGATCGACGGCGGCAGCGCCCGACCTTTTGAACCGTGGAGTAAAATTAGTCAAGGCAAGGTCCCTCCGCATAGTTAAGGTCTGAGAATCTCCCGACTTTGCTACCTACTTTGACTGGAACTGGTAATAGCGGCAATGACCCTATTTGAGCATAACGACGACAATCATAATCATCACCGCCGACCAAAACGACAAAAGTACGAAGCTAGTATCAAAGAGGGACATGGTTGCGAGTAATTGCGTCGTGGGAGAAGGGAAGTGAAGCGGAAGAAATTACGATGGTCCCCCTAAAGTAAACCAGGGCAAGGGCCCCAGACTCGATCATCGGCGGATCTCTCAAATGTGCCCCGGAGCCAGCCAGTGGGCGACTAGGGAAGGCTACTTTACTCCAAGTGTCAGAGTGGTTGAGTCCAATAGGAAGCTGGAGAGAGGCCTAGGGGGTTGGAACTGTCGCAGGGCGATCGTGAAGAGGCCTGTGCAGGCCCAGGTTGCTGGGATCATGGTTGTATGGTTTGATCGGAGGGTGCTTGGCTGTCTGAGTGAGTTTATACTATATGCAGATGGACAGGCTGTCATTTTCTTGCAGTTGGTATACTACAGATTTGTCAAGGGTATCGGCAGTTCGACGATGGAACCCCAATAAGTTCTCCGTACCACACTCCCACGACTCCTGATAGTAATTATAACACAAATCATAGTGATAATAATAATAATGGAAGAACAAAGAAACAGTCCCCCCCTATACAACCAAACAGGCCAACCTAACATCCATCGCGTTAGACCCAACCCAAAACAGGACGGAACTTGTTTGACAGTGTCACAGTGGTGATGAGTGCTGACCCTTGCCCTAATCCCACCCAGGCTTAGCCCAGCAAAGGACCGGCGCGGGCGGATCAAAGCTCCCTCCATTCCGTTCGCTAGGACTCAAGCCTCAAAACCATCACACACCAGCCAGCCTTCCAAGGTTGTATGCGAGGTTGAGAAAGAGAAACAAAAGGTGGAGTGTAGTCCGCCACCGCGCCTTTCTCTTGCCCCTCTGCCTCCCTCCCGTTGAAGCATACGGAATATCATGAAGAAGGGCCGATGCAGCTTGGCTTCGCGGTCTAGTTTCCCCCGTTACCCGATCCCTTGGATTAATAAAGCGCGATGAGAGGCCCCCCCCTTCTATTTTACGTACGTTCCCAGATCGGGGCGTCCCAGCGCCGTGTCACCGAGTCCCGAGAATCGACCTCCCCCGATCCTAGCTTCAGATGGAGATTTGTCATTCTAATTCTATAGTTACTCTTGCGACACGACACCTTCTTTGTAGTCAAGGGACTGTTTCTAAAGGTCAACTCAACGACACGAGAAAATGTGGTAATTAAACCGCATTGGTGTCTACTTTCTAATAGCTCAATTTAGTTCAATCAAAAATACGATATCTGTTTGCTGGAGTGCAGATTTTTAACGCCGAGCTGAATTCGATAATGTCTCTCCATATAATTAATGTAATGTATATACTCGTCTTTCTTTTGCTATGCTGCTGCGGAAATGTCAGACCTGTGCAACTATGTAAACATATGGAGTATATAAAATTATATATATATATATATATGTATGTGTATTATCCTGTCAGCATACTGACAGTGGGGAAGAATGGGTAAAGACAGTACTTTACCACCTACTCAAACACACGGAAAATCTCCGGGGGGATCATCGTTCGACCCAGACTTCCGGTCGTCTCGATAAGGTAAGATGGAGTCTGACAGGCATCACTCCTGACTTATTTGCCCTGAAACAATTCTTGAAGTTGACCCCTTGACATCCTGACACCCTGACATACTCTTAGTATGTAGGCACGTACCTCTGCGAAAGATTGTGACCTCAACATCATGTAATCTACTCCCTAGAATAATTATCTAATAAAAATAAGTACAAATAAGAATCAAAAACAAAATAACAAGAACAGCATTGCCCCTTTCCGGAAACTAAAATGGCTATCACCCGTCCACCCTCCAAACCCCCCAAAGAGGGGGAAACAGACCCTAAGTGAGTCCTTTGTTCCTCTCCAGCATCGCAACTTTTAACCACCACGGTCTAATTGGTTTGGTTTGGTTTGGGATAGTCTCACCCCCAAATACTACATCGTACCTTTTCTCTCCAGCATCACCATAATTAGTCAGTCAGTC